ACATATTTCTGAGAAAAGTTATTGCTAGATACGCCAAGTCGGTGATTTTTACAGGCTAGTTAGGTGTGTAAATGTTGGCCGGGACACGCTCTAGCAGCATATTTTGGATTCACATCTAACTCAAAATGGATCTGACAGTGTAAACATTGTGCTCATGCTTTTATTTTGGTGGAAAGTTATTTTTTGACATGTGTCCTTTCCAGGCACATAAAAAAATATGAAAGGAGGGAGTGGGTGAATTTCAGTGTTCTAGGAGTGATTTTGTGACCTAAGTGTTCTAACTCGGCACAAAAAAAAAAATATCTGGTTCGGGAGTTCAGTGTCCTTTCGTCGTCTCGGAAACGCCTGAATATTAAAGTTTTCAAAGCCTTACAAGCGCTCGAATTTTGGATTGAAAACTTGATTTCAGCAGTAGCCAAGTATGACATTTGAAGCTCAAAAGCTTTTGAAGCTCAAAAGCTTCAAATGTCATACTAATTCTTGCTTTGTTTCTCTATTCCTGACCAAATAATTTGGGTCTATTTCCTTTTTCAATAATATGCCAAAATGATTTATAAGTAAACTGCATTCCAGAAGAATGGTCTCAGTATTAGTGCAGTGCAAGAATATATTTTTTGAAGGGGCCGTAAAATGTTTTTTGTACTTTCAGTAAATCGTGCTTACATTTAATTCTTGATGTTCATAAGAGCAAACACAGTTCATTCCCTCAACTTGCTACCCAGAACAAGTGAACTCATTATCTGGTGTTATTTCTATACTGCCAGTATTCATCATAGAAACACATTGGGGTTGGCAGAGCACGTAGCTTGTACTGAGCTGCAAGCATTTTTAGAGTTTGACTTATTTTGTCATTGCAGCGATTGAACACGAGCCAATACCCGAAGGCAATTGCCGAGGCATTGGGTGTCACAGGCAATTAAATCTAATAGTATGGTTATAGAAGGCGATTTCAATTTGCCTGATCTTAACTGGCACAATCCAAAAGTCTTTTCTGGGGCTGCCTGTGGATTCACTGCAGTAATGGCCAATTTTCTGAATTTGTTTGCGCCGACTCAAACTGTGTTAGAGCCTACTCGAGCGATCCACATTCTTGACCTTTTTCTCACAAATCAGCCAGATCTGGTGAAGACTACTTTAGTAATTTCAGAAATTAGTGATAATCAAAGTGCTGTCCTTTGTGAAATGAATTTGGAGCATGTATAAATGTGTGATAGTGGAAGCTGACCTATGTTTAATTACAAAAAGGCTAACATTCCTGAAATGAATGTCGCTCTTGATGCATGTTTTGTTCTTTTTGTAACATTGTTTGACTCCTATTTTTAACTGAACTCTGGGCACTTTCTGGGGGAAAGGTTTTAGAATTGCAAGATTACTTTGCCCCTTCATGAAGTTTTAGCAAAAGACAAAGTAAAAGTAAGCCATGGTTTACAAAACAACTATGAAAGCTGACACAATGAAAACAAAGAATCTATCGTGCTTTTAAAAACTGTCCATCACCTGAAAATACCGGGAAATTGAAAGTGATAATAACCAGTGAGAAAAACATTGAGATATGAAAAGCAAAATCTATTTTCTTTGAGTTATTTCATTCTAAAATCAAAAGAAACCCAAAAGAACTTTGGAAATACGTAAAAGGAAATAAAAAGGATAACATATATATTCAGTCTCTCGTGAAAGATGACGTTGTCATCACTGATGCCTCTCAAAATGCAGAACGTTTCAACTCTTAGTTTATTTCTGTGTTTTCCTCGTTCTAGATGGAAGCTTGTCCATGGAAAATATATTGTTCAATGCTGATGAGATATAGCAGTATTATTAGAGGGCTTAAATGTTTCAAAGGCTGCTGGCCCTGATTTCCTACTAACAGCATTGCCAAAGTATTGTGCTCGTTCAGTGTCCCTATATCTGAAAACCCTTTTTGAAAAGTAACTGAATGATTTCTCTCTTCAAAATGACTGAAAGATAGCTTCTCTTGTACCAGATCATAAATCTGGGCCTAGAAACATTGTTTGAATTTACCGTCCTATTTCACTGACGTCCGTTTGTTGTAAAATTCTTGAACACATCTTGTACCCATGTTGAATAAACCTGAGACTGGGGCAGAAACATACTAAGCCTGCCTTTGGGATGATCAGAGATAATATAGTAAGGGTGCAGGCTCAGTCTACTTTTACAGCAGAGCTGTTAAGGGCTAGTTTCCCCAGGATCGTGTCCCCCCAAAGAAATGAAGACACCAAACTCTGGACACCTACCGCCATCTATGAGCGACGGGGGCAAGCCACGTATCTGGCTGCCGCCATCGCTCATAGATGGCGGCAGCCTTTCCACTCTGGCTTGCCGACTTGCGGCCGGCCATTACTTTCCATTGCACAGTTCCGCTGGTCTTCCTTCTTCACCGGAGTGGAAAGGCTGAAAGTTATTGAATCAGAAACAACCTGGCTTCCAGAGGGAGTTGTCTTGCGTCACGCAATTAACCGAGTTCACTCACGGTTTGGCTGGAGCAATGGAAAACCGTAAAACTGTCAACTGTGTTCTTAGATTTCAGTTCAGCATTTGATGTGGTACCTCACAAGTTATTGCTAGTTAAGTTATCGCATTTTAATAGTAATTGTCGAGTTATCTCTTGGATTTCCGAATATTTACACGAAAAATGCCTGTACGTGCTAGTAAATGGGAGAGAATCAAAACTTGCGCAAGTGACATCAGGAGTACTACAGGGGTCAGTTTTAGGACCTTATATTAAATTTATGTCAGCAATATTGATGAGTCATTTACTTCATGCGTGAAAATGGTCGCAGATGATTGGGTATTAGATGAAGAAGTAACTTGTGATAGTGACAACTTCATCATTCAGAAGGATCTAGATAAAATAGATATATATGGTGCAGAAAATGACAAATAAAATTGAATCTAGATAAAACTGTGTGCATATCTTCCTCTAGAAAAGAATCAACAACCAGTTCTTTCTTTATGAAATCAACAACACTCATTTAAAAAGGGTTTCAGGATGTAAGTATTTAGGTGTTTAACTCACATCCTCGTTGTGTTGGTATCGGCATGTAGATCATACCACAGCAAAAGCTTCCAAATCTTTGGGTTTCTTATGTTCAAACACTCGTAATTTTCCACAGGTTACATGGGAACTATTATATAGAACAAACGGAATACCTAGGTCAGAATATACCTGCATCGTGTGGGACCCTCCAACTAGTATAGATAATAATAAATTAGAAAAAGTTCAAAATTAAGCAGCTAGGTATGTTTTAGCAAAATGAGGAAAAAGCAGAGAGTTCTGTGTGACGCGCTCAAGACAAATGCTGAAATAGAGTACAATGGAATGTTGCAGTTTGAAGTTTTTTCAGTGTATTTCACTCTCGGACTGGCATCCTACGTGAAACCTACCTGTTTTCCCCATAACCTACTCGCGCTTGTGGACCGGGCAAGTGCCCACTCAGAAGATGAAAATAGTCGCAAAGAAAAAAATAAAATGCGGGATGGGCGCTTGTTCGGTCATTAATTTGACATATAAATGTACTGTGCATATTTCCTCAGCTCTTACAAATTTGGGAATGAGCGCTTAGTGTGGAATGGACGGATGCGCGGTATTTATGGTATGTGAATATAGGTGTAAGGCTGCAGCTTTTAAGAGTTATTTTCCAAAAACATTTACCCAGTGGAGCAGATTACTTTCTGCCATTGTTTCCATTTTGTCAAACAATGACTTTTATACTGCTTTGGAAACGGTAGGTTCATTTGACTGATATGATTGTGTAAAAATAAATAAATCCCAGGCTAATATGATTGCATAAAGAAATAGATTTTACTTACACAGTAGGTTACCGTAAAATCCCGATAGATAGCCAACCTAACATCAAGAGCAAATGGGGTGAAATTATGTAGTGGTCTAACTTTTGGTGTACAATCAAGAAAAGTTTAAAAAATTGATATTTTTAGGTCATGTCCCTTCCAAGCTTGTTATGGTGGCAAGGGGCAATGAAGCAAAGATGACTGTACTTTCCAGTCATCATTTACGCCGAGGCCATCATTGATCTCAACACTATTATTACTATCTTTCCGTGTTTAAAAAAAGCAATCAAGCCAAAAATAGGGGTGGGCTATCTTTGGGGAGTTTTATGGTAAAATTGTATTCAAGCATAGGAGCTGCAGCCCTTGCTGTACTCCAATGAATGTGGTTTTGTGTGTCGTTTGATTTTCTTTATATGTCATGAATGTGAGGAATGCTTCGCGAAATATAAAGGTTTCATTGTCGCGAAATGTGATGTATTTTATCACCTCTACACGGTGCTTTGTTCATAGCTTGTTGAAGATGATTACCTGTTCATCTACCTTGCTTTTTTTGTGTGTTTGAAAGGTGCTGCAGGTATTGAGTAAATAAATAAGTGGGGAGCTGACTCAGTGCTTGTGTCCAGTCCATGAGCTGCATTCATAAATCATCAACAAGGGCTAATCTCTGTGACTATGTCAGCATTGCATTCCTCATGACCACATCATGAATAGTCCGCATTTATCCTTGAAATATCACCATAACAAAGGTGCTTTTGGGTCAGTGGCACCAGGCACCCAATATTGTTGCACTGCCCCTTTAAAGCGCTCTCATTCTAAAGGTCAATTCACACAGTTGCATTTGACTATATTTGACTATGTTGCAGGGACTTTCATTGAGATATGACCATGAGCCATCGTGATTCATATAAAGCTCTACAACCAATTCAAGGAGTTGTCAATTGGCATGTTACCTACGAAGCATGAATATCCCAGTAATTTGCGGTCATATCTCAGCATAACTAGTCGAATGTTGTCAATCACTTTTTTTTTTTAAATGTTAAGTGATGAAATGCTATGGACCTTTGAAAGAAAGTCTCAGTATCTCATAAAAAAGACCTCTTAAAAATGCATGGGAACTCTGCACACTGGCAAGGTGCAGAGTTTTGGTTGTGGAGTCTGGCTGTTTGGTTTCAAACCGGTCGTCTCCCTTACAGGGCCCTGATGGTGAAGCTTCTCCAGAACCTGCAGGATGTGTACTCCAAGTGGGAGGCCAAGTCGAAGCCCAGGATCTCGAGAAGTGCCGACGAGAGCACGACTCGGCAGTGGACTGGCACGCTTGACACGCAGGACGGCTCTAAGCCCAGGCCCCAAAAAGGTGGCAAGCTGCTCCCACGCAGGAATCTGGCCTTCAATCCGGGCAGGCACGGCACCGACAAGGTCAGGGTGCCCACGCTCGGCCACGTGCAGCGAAGCAAGGTGTCCTTTGTCGACGAGGTATGGGTTCTTTGGTTTTTCCCGGGCACAAGGGACTTTGGGGTACCTCTCTCCCTTAGGAAAGGCAGGCAAGTTTTGGGGCGTCTGTTGCAGCGTCTCGGGAAAGTTAAACCACCTCCATAAGATGGCCCATCCCATTATTCTGACCCCCTCTTCCAAGCTGGGGTTTGAACACCCTTCCTTATGAAAGAACAGACTTTCTGCTGGTCCAACATTAAGTGCAATAATCGTGAAAGGCTTGGGTATGTAGGTAACATAGAACATTTTCTGCATGATGGTGGGAGCCGGTTGTTTTGCAACCTTTCATAATAAAGATAAAAGAGAATCTTATTGCTGCATGCTAATCTTTGACGTTAATCTGCATGATACCCGTGTGGCCACTTCAGACAGCATAAGAACGTAAGCTTATCGCTCATATCTGTAAGCCGCTTACAAGGTCATACGATATCACCGATGAAGAGTCGGAAGTGTTCAAGCAGGTTAAATGTTTTGTTTTGCCTAGAGTGCCTTCATGTGCGCTTTGCTTAGGGTGACGGCTGACCATTTTGTTGCGAATGCTTACGCTTATTTTTCTTTTGTGTTCCGAAGCGCGTGAAAGAGTGTCCTTGCACATGCTCGTGGCGCTAACTGTGCTACGGCGACATGTTGTTCTCGACGGTTTGTATTTTCCCTGTGAGCGCGTGCTGTCGGCATCGGGTGCTACAAAGGATGGCATCACCCTAAGCAGAAGGACGTTGAGGCACCCTAGTTTTACCAGGGACTTGAGAAGCAACTTTAGTTGCCAGTTTTTTTTATTTGGAAGCGTGATGGTCGTATTCCGTGCATAATTTGGATGTAGTTAGGAAGTCATTCTAGATTGCTTTCTATACAACTGTGGCTACATTTGGTACGATAAAAATATTTTTCTTTTGCTTCTTAAAGGGGCTCGTAGATGGTTTTGGCTTTCTCCAAATGGTGCAGAAACTGAAATAAATGCCATTCATTAAAGGGTCCCTGAAAAGAAAGAAAACGTTGAAAGAAAATATTTCTGAAACTATTCTCCCATTCTTTCTTGTGCACCAAGGGGTCCACCCATGTCAAATTGCTCTCCGAGAAGGGGGGGAGGGGGGGGGGGGGGGGGGGCCGCCCCCGTCGCCCCCCCCTTGGATCTGCCCCTGCTTGAAGGTGTCTGCAGTTCTTTCTCAAAAGTCGCACAACACGAAATGAATACCAAGGGTGAAAAGAGAATTTTGTCGCCGTCTACGTTTACTCGTCACGCCTGTCACAATCAATTAGTCGCGAGGCTTTGTGTGCGTGTTAACTCTTGGCCATGGTAGAGTTGTTTGTCCCGAAGGGAGTTGGAAAAGTGTCGTGCCAGCTACAGGGGAGGGAGAGGGCGGCAGGGGACATTATTCTGGGCCGGTCTATTTCTGACCCGGGGACACGTGACCTCTAGGTGCTGCCGCAGTTCAAGCAGTACCCGCCTCCGGAGGAAGTGCGGCAGCTGGAGACTCTGCGCCACTTTGCTCTTCAGTGCTGCTCCAAGTGCCTACCCATGAGCAAGGTATGCAGTGCATGCCTCTCTGGGAAGCCACCCCTCGTCACACGTCCTGGCTTGGAGTCCACGAGGGGGGCTGGATTTGGTTGGGGCTTTGGCTGTTGACAACTAGCTTTTGCACCCACTACTGGCAGCAGTCAGTTGGGGACTGTTTTCGTGTCTGCTCAGCTTTGTTTTTCCAAGTTTTCTTCTTTTCTAAGGTGATGTAGAAAGAGGCTGCACTCCCAAAAGCCTTTTTTTTTTTTTAACCGCCAAGATAGAAAAAGATGAGCCAATAAAAAATTTAATTAATGAATGCAATGTTCACGCTTCACCGTGTTTTTCAAGGTTGGAACTATTTTATGTGCTTGCCTACGCCAGCTCCAAAATTTCTTCTTTTTGAGGCCATCGTTGTAGTGGCGTTAAAATAGAAGTTGTGAGTCTCCCATTGGGTGGGTGCAGAGAAGAGGTACATCCACCTTTCCTCCATTCCTTCACCCTCCTCACACTGAGAGAAGCTGTGAGAGAAAAAATAACAAGAGGAGAATTGCAGGCCCCAACAAAGTCACAGCTCCATCTAAATTGCGTGTCGCAGTTTAGACGCTGCATTATTAAAAAAAAAAAAAGAAGTGATCTTTTGATTTGTTTTTTTCCATACAGTTAAATGTTTTGTGAGTTCAATGTCCCTTAAACAGGGTTCTTTTTTACATGCATGCAGCAAACCTATCATTCCTGTATTAGGTTTGTGTGTAGCCTTCTAAAGCATATGCAATTTAAATAGGCCCCTGAAAAGAAAAAAATGTGTCTTTTTTTAAACCGTCTGGTTGGGACACGTGTGTCAAAAAATAAATTTTACGCGAAAAAAAAAAAATAATTCTAGTGCAATATTGACGCCAAGAGATTTATTTGAAAATCTGCGTGCAAAGTCTATGACGTCATGGGTCATTCTGGAATGACCATCTTGGTCGTTTGCTCTTTTCACCTCAACGTGAAGGCGAAGCCGATCCACCTCTCCTTCACGCTCCCGAAATGCTGAGCTAGAAAAGAAGTGGAAAGGAGGTGACTGCCAACTAAATCGCATCTCGCGCTGTCAATATTGCTCTAAAAACTTTTTTTTTTGCGTAAAACTAATTTTTTGTTGTGTGTGTCCCAACCAGACTGTTCAATTAAAACATTCTTTTTTTCTTTTCAGGGTCCCTTTAAGGGAAAACACTGGTCTTGGAGCTTTTATCCCTATTGTATGAGAAACTCAATGAAAGTGCACAAGCTTGTTTGGTTTTTCTTGCTGATTGCAAATATCTAGTCAGTTTTTAATTCAGCAGTGCAGTCCTTAAGATAATTAAAACTCACCTGCCTTTGTTTTCAGAAACAATAGGCAAACATTTACTGAACAAAAAATTATGCTTCATGCATGGCTAGATACTACGAATTATAAAGAGTACAATGTTGGAAGTACTTTTGAGATTGAACCATTATTAGGGATTTTACAACACATGGAAGGTCAGTGTTGAATCTGTGGCAACTAAGTAATTAAACAATAAATCAGTTGAAAAATTTCCTAGGCTTATAGTAAATACTGCATCTCCACGTGATGAATGATGTTGATTGGGGTGAAGCTCGGGTGGTGCTGATGATACTGATTTTGGTCATAGGTAGTGCTGATGGTGTCGTTTTCATTCATTTCAGTAGGAGAATGTGTGGTTTTCTTCTTTTTCTTTTTTTAAGAAGACAGATGGAATGGCAACTCAGAACCCCCTACTATTTTTTTTTTCTTCTTTTTTTGATACTGATTTTGGTCGTAGGTAGTGCTGATGGTGCCGTTTTCATTCATGTCAGTAGAAGAATGTGTGGTTTTCTTTTTTTTTCTTTCTTTTAAGAAGACAGATGGGATGGCAACTCAGAACTCCCTACTCTTTTTTTTTCTTCTTTTTTTTTATACTGATTTTGGTCATAGGTAGTGCTGATGGTGCCGTTTTCATTAATGTCAGCAGGAGAATGTGTGGTTTTCTTCTTTTTTCTTTTTTTAAGAAGACAGATGGGATGGCAACTCAGAACCCCCTACTCTTTTTTTTTCTTCATTTTCTTGATTCTAATTTTGGTCATAGGTAGTGCTGATGGTGCCGTTTTCATTCATGTCAGTAGAAGAATGTGTGGTTTTCTTCTTTTTTCTTTTTTAAGAAGACAGATGGGATGGCAACTCAGAACCCCCTACTCTTTTTTCTTCTCCTTTTTCTTGATACTGATTTTGGTCATAGGTAGTGCTGATGGTGCCGTTTTCATTCATGTCAGTAGAAGAATGTGTGGTTTTCTTCTTTTTCTTTTTTTAAGAAGACAGATGGGATGGCATCTCAGAGCCCCCTATTTTTTTTTTCTTCTTTTTATTTTTTTATTTTTTTTTTCATCTTTTTTTTTTCTTTTTTTTCTTGCTCTCGCTGCTGAACTCACGAACAGGAGCTCAGGAGCTCTTGCTCGTGAGCTTACGAGCAGCGGCACACCGGACGGACATACGGACATCGCTAGCCCCTAAGGAGCTTCCCCCCTAAAAAATCTGCTCTCAACATTGTATGCCACACATATAACAACATATTGCAAAAAAAAAAAAAGCTATATTTTGATATTTGCCTTGAAGGTTGATATATCCCTCCTGCAAATCTGCAAGGAGCTCAAAATTTGTGCTTTGAGAAAATGCCGTTTTAGCATTAACTTCAATACAAATTCAAGCTGCATAGATGTGATAAATGGATATTATGGCACTAGTATTGATACACAAAATTTTAAACTTGCCAAAATGGCTGTAAATTTTAAGATCGCCATTTAAAGAGCGACTTTGCTTCATTTTTGTTTCTGAAAAACAACGCAGTCCTCTTCAGTATCACCTAGGAAGACCACACATCAAATATTACGACCCAGTTCCGTCTAAATGTTTCTTAAATGGTCTGGCAAACTTTTCAACTCGCCAAGTTGCCGAAATCGGCCGACTCGAGCGGGGGAATTGAGACGCAACCTACAGCGCAGTCAAGGCTCTGACGTGGGCGTAGCCAACATTGGAGCTAAACGTCGGCACCATGGCTCCTATTTGTTTGTTTTTACTTCTCCTGGCAAGCGTAACGGGTTACGTTAGCAATGCTTCCTCTCGGCACTCAGTGGTGTCCACAGGATTGGGCTGCGCAGCGCACTTCTTGGGAGCCGTTCCGCCGTTACCCGCCGTCTCCCGTATCACAGCCGCTGTCGTCGTCTCACCGTTTGGGATCATTGTCTCTCTGAGTTTCATTCTGAGTTTCATTCTACGGACACTACGTGCACAGACCTATGCTGCAGTTGTGCAGATGTCGTCCAATGTTGTAGACACCAAAACATGGTGAAGAGTGCGGTGGAAACGACACTTGCGCCTGGCACATGCCTGCCGCCCCTGCCGCAATTCCTCCCGACATTGCGTAGAGGATCACGTGACATCTCATACCACATGATGGCCAGGTTCTTGGCAGTCCGAGGCCAATGTTGCCGGACGGAGCCGAAGTTTTGGTTTCGGCTTGTGTTTAAAGTTAGGTTTAATGATATATATCCCCTTCTTTGCAACGCAAATGACATAGTGTCTTTTATTAATGCTTTTTAATGTGAAATCACTCATTATCCCAAAATCTCTGAAATAAAGTGGAGTTGCCCTTTAAGAAAAATTAAGTTTTTGGAAATTTTTGGAATCAAAGACTCATGTCCACTTATCGTATCGTTGCCCGGCCATTAAGAGGCCGGGCAACGGTATTGGGTAGGAATGTTTTTCGCTTTACTCAAGCATACTGGCACTAGTGGGATCCAAGAATACTTGGTTGGCAAAGCGCCCTGTGCTTTGCCAACCTTAATGCGCGGATATATGTTTAACATTGGCGGCATTTAATCGGCTCCAGGTCACGTGGCCGCTTTTTCTGGCTGTGAGTCGTGAGATTAAATGCTGTTAATTTTTCTCAGTTTTTTTCTGCAACTGCCATTGCATGGTGTAAAAAACCGGTGCGGGTTTCATAGGTTATGAAAGATAAGGTATAATTCTAAGCGGTATTTAAAAATAAATTGTTGCATTGTTCCTTTAAGGGGGACACTACCTGGGAATGTCAACTTTTGAACCGCTCACTCAATTGGCATGATATTTGCCAGTGGTGTTTGCAGCCATATAGAAGGAGGGCATGCAGAGTTCCAGCCCTGTGAACTAGTTTTATGAGGTACTATATCCCCAGTACATAGAATATGCTCAATGAATCTGTCTTTGAGAAATGGTGTTGATAACCACATATTTTTCTGGAGGAATGTATACTGGAATACCGGTTTCCGGTTATTATGAAAAGAAATGTAAGAAAATATGCATTTTCCAGGTATAAAAAAAAATATAGGAAAATGTTTTTTTACATATATTATGTTTTTTAAATTACAATTTTTCATAATAAAGGAACGTGAAGATGCAAAATCGAAAATGCAAAATCTAAGTTTATAGTAACCGGCTCCATAAAATTTCTGCATATAAGCCTCAAATATTTAGTCTCCCGATAGTTTCATACTGAAATTAGGTTTTTAGTAACAGACAAAGAAGGGTGTCTATAAAAAAAAAAAAAAAGTGATAACACTGAATATTTTCGTCAAAACAATGACATGGTCCTTTTTTAAAATTACGGTAGTTTACTCATCTCAGTGTCATCAAAAGTTTAAGCCTTATGTAGCTGTGGTAGGTCAGATGAAAAATACTAGTATATTCTATTAACTTTTTTTTCTAAACTGTGTTTTATATTTGTTTCGTGGCACTTACAATTTAAGCCTGCACTTAACAGCTATCCAAGTTTTGAGGAATTATGGTGCCAATGTTTTAGGGGTGAAGCTCCTTAGGGTCTAGCCTTGTCCGTCCGGCGTCCGTGCTCATATTGATCTTGCTGGTGCTCGTGCTCGTGTAAAGCAATATAAAAAAAATTAAAAAAAAAAACAATGAAAAAAAAAAAAAATGTTTGTGCAGTTGACAGGATTCGAACCTGTGCGGGGAGACCCCGATGGATTTCTAGTCCATCCCTTAACCACTCGGCCACGACTGCGGGACGAGTAGGGAGCTCTGAGATGTGGTAGTAACTCAAGAGCTGGGGATATCATGTATGAAACGTTGCATGTAGCTGTTCAATGTCTATACAGGAGAGGGCGCTGCGGTCAAATGCATAAATAATCGCGTTAAACTTTGCATGCATTGGCTCAACGTTTATAGACGAGAGGGGGCTGCGGTCAAATGCTCAAATGCGTATATAACCACGTTCCATACCACACATTCTCTTTCTGACATGGATGAAAACAAACAAAAGGCTGGGCATGCTGCCGCTCATCGTCTATGCAGACAAGCACCACCAGAGCTTCTCCCCAATCAACATCATTCACCACGTGGAGATGCGGTCAATTTTTTATTGGCTTTTACGAAATAGTTTTTCTCTTGTCAGACAGTTTCTAGGCAGCTCTTGAGTATCATACCCTCTTCCAGGTGGCTAAAAAATTACACTTTTCACTTGATTTTGCTTGGCGGTCAATTCACAGAAATTTATTTATGAATTTATTTATTTCACACACTATCAGTCCTATGTAGGATTATAATAGGTGTGGGTTAATAAATAATGCATGAAAGCAACTGTACAGCACATCACCACTCAGCTATTACAACAATAGCCCAAGGTACAAATATTTAGCGACCATGACACGAGTAAAACAATTCTAGAAATACAGTGAATCATCATTGTACGTATCAATTCGAGCGCAAAATGAGTATAAGCACTGACAGGCAACCACCGCCTCGGGGAGTAGATTCCAATTGCTGATAGTCAATGGAAGAAATGAATACATTAAGCAGTCCTTCAGGCACCGGTAGTGTAACTTGTGGAGTATGACTGTTTCTTTCTAGAGATCCTCGACTTGTGCGGTGTTAAATAACTATCGTTGTCAACCAAAAGCAGATTATTCCATATCAAATTAAAAAAAAATTTATGATTTTAAAGTTTTTTAGGTTTATTAAATATTGTTTCTGAATGTTCATTTCATTTATTCATTTATTCAACCCTTAAAGGCCCAATGGGCGTTACATAAGGGGGGGCAAGGAATATAAAATCGAAAATACAGAACAGCGCATGAAGCGAAAAAACAAAAACAAAAAAAACATCAATTATACATTTGTATACGCTATAAAAATAGCAGGGAAAATCCACACAGAAACAAATGAGGTCAAAAATCAGCAACATATCGTCTATGTAAGCACTCGACAAAAAAAAAATGATATTAAAAGAATAAAACAAAATAAGAATTATATAATAAAATATAAAAATAAGGTAGCCAACTGTGAAAACAATGTAGAAATCGCCTCACGGAACAGGCCGGTGTCGCTAATGTTGACTATGGTGTTGGGAAGGTCGTTCCAATCGCGGATGCCTCGCGGGACAGCGGAGTTAATAAACGCATTAGTTTTACCGGTTAGGTGCTTGAAACTTTTGCTATTAGTGGTTCGATGGGAAGATCTGTTAGGAGGCTCAAGAAAAGGTATATTATTATCGTGATAGTAGAGCTTATGGATGAGGCACAGAAGAGCAATTTTACCGCGGTTTTCGAGTAGAGGGAGAGAACACTGATTTTTTAGAGTAGAAACACTTATGTTATACGAATAACTCGATGTTACAAAAACGTGCCGCTCGATTTTGGACGGCTTCGATACATTAGGTTAAGTAGACTTGATGGGGGTTCCAGATTGGTGAAGCATAATCAAGTTTTGGGCGAACGTTAGTTTCGTAGGCTAGTTTACGGAGTCATTGTGATTTTAGTTGTAGCTCCTTGTGTTTACTGAGCTTCGGTGGGCTTTCAGACTTGCTACTTGTGACAATTTTTGAACTTGATAAGCTAAGTGAGGCATGCCAAATGTAGTGCTCAGAAAAAGATTTTACAGTATTTAAACTACTGCATCAATGGTGGTACAGTGCAATCCACTTATAACAATAATAAGAAAATCCGAAAATGCAATCGTTTAAGTGATGATCGTTGTATCTGGACAGAATACCCCATGCAAAAATGCATGGTCCTCTAGAAACTGATTGTTATAAGCGGTACTTCGTTATATCTGGTATTGTTATAAGTAGATTGCACTGTAGTACCACCATGGAGAGATTTGACTGAACACTCTTGTTCTCACATTTCCTTTTTTAAGCTGAGGAGTAGTTTAGTAGTGTAAAATTTTTTGACATAACATAGTATACTGAGATATTAATGCATGTGGTACAACCGCTAAAGTAAAGTACAGCAAAAAAAAAAAAGTTACTGTTCCAGTGCAAAAAGGTTTTCTACATACCATATTTTCCGGTCTATAAGATGCACCTGCGTATAAGTCGCACCGCCGAAAATTTTGGAAAAAAAGTGTGTCTTATACACCGGAAAATACGTTATGTTTCTCTAGTGTCACTGTTGAAAACAATGGGGTATTGCTGTTTATGTTCAGTCTTTTTGGTCGAAGCACTTATCGATAATGTGGCCTTATTTTTCTGTTTGTTTCAGTCTAGCTTCACTGTTGATGGATCCATCGTTCTGCATGGGCTCGACAATGCACTAACACTACCTTCCGATGGCAGGTGCGTGCTTTGGGTGGTCTGTTTTTTTTTTTTTTTTTTTTTTTCTGGACCTATCGAGAATTTAGACGTCTGATACTTTTGCTTGTCGCTTTGGATGACGCAGGAGTTGGTTGACGCCGCTCAAGTTCGTTAAGAACTCTATTTACCTCACCTGCAAGAGTATACCTCACGAGTATAAACCCATCTCCAAGAAAATGCTCCGTTCGGAAAGGTGAGGGTCTCCTTGGAAGTTGCCACTTGGTGAGCTGATTTGGTGGCTTCTCCTGCAGCATTCAGCGTGCCATTGACAAGGCCGTGCAAGACGACCCTGGAAGTAAGTCGCAACTATTAGGGACATGCGAGCAGGGAAACTAAAGTGCAAATTAAATTCTAATCAAGCAGTGGCAAGTAGTGGCCATAATGCTGAATCATATACCGAAACCCCTATTTGAAATGCACTGAAACGAGCACAACACGGCTGCCTCTCAAAATCTTCCGTGCATTTATTACGTATCATGTGGAACAAGGAGTGAATATTACTTAAATGGAGTGCTAATGCCCACGTGGTAATGAGAAACGTTGCTGGTTGGATGGACGAATACAGCCAGACCCTTCAAATCGGACAACGTCTTGTGCCACCTAGCCGTGGCACCTCACTTGACGTTGCAGGGAGCAACAGATTAGCAGATGAGGCGGGCTAAATTATCCTTGTCATCATCTTTGCAATAAATTGCCACTTTCTTGCTTTCCTCATGTAATGCATTGCTAGATGCCTTTGAGCTAAAATAACATAAATCAAGTAAAAAATGTTCTGAACATTACAACTAAGAAAGCCCTATAGCTAAGACATTTCTTTTCTATATCTTAGATTTGTAGTACACAGTTGGTGGCAAGATACATGAATTCAAAATGAAAGTTTGCATAGTTTGTGGCTTTGCATCGAGCACAGTGCAGTAGCCTGAACACAACTGCTTAATTTGAGGTATACAAGAAATAAAGTACTGTAAACGACTTAATTTTCGCGAATCATCTGCAATTCGCGAAAAATAGATCCCATGAACAATTCAGGCAAAATTTCAACACAGAGGAAGCTACAGTGAGGTGCTTGCGGCTTGCAAAAATTAGAGCCCGCGAATAATTAAAATTTTTCAACTTTGGCTCGATTCGTGAAAATTTGAGCCCGCAAAAATTGTGTCGTTCACGGTACTTTCTGTCGAAATGTTTAGTCAGTCAATGCTTCCCCAGTGCAGACATGATTTACAGCCGCCGACCGATTTTTCGCAGTTAGAAGGGACTAAAAAAACTTTCAAATAATACAGCAGTCCCAAAATTCAGCAAATTATAAAACACCTTTATTATTAGAAAATTCATAAATAGTGCCTTGTTTCATGTTACGCCTGTGCGCCTTGTTTCAGGTTGCACCTCCATTTTCTTCCGGCAACTTTCTATTGGCTTGAGAATCGCTGCCTTCTTTTCTAGTGTTATGGTCGAGTACTTTCTGCGCTGCTTAACGACACATTGCGATTTCAAAATAACAGATGGGGCAATTACATTCAAGCCAGCCAGGGGCTTCGGAACCGGGGGGGCAGGGGGGGCGTCCGCCCCCCTCATGTTTTTTTTGTAGGGGTCATGCCCCCCCGACGCTGAGGCTGACCCACAACCCTCCCTTAATGTAGTCAGAGCAACATGCTACCGCGCCTTCCAAGCTTGAAGCGGAATAAGAAAGGACAGCGACGTTTTGTCGGGACAAGAATTGGTAGTAAAGCTGATACCCCTGTTAAGGGCTGGAGTAAATGTTTCTTCTGAGCCAGCCTTGAGGCTCGCGTATTGGTCACATCTTAATCACTAGTAGCGGGATGGGGACAGCTTAGGAAAGGCACCTTTCTACCATTCCTTGTCATCGGAAAGGATGGCGGGGAGGAGGCCTCCCTCCGGCTCTGGAGGAGCCTCCCCAAACGTAAAACCTCTTGCCGCGGGAAATTGGTCTCTGGCAGAGCGCTTCGACGAACAGCAGTCCGGAGCATATGTCCTTGGAGGGACTGCACACTCTCTTTGACGAGTTTTGCTTGGGATCGGCTCTTTCAAGCTCGGCCATGCCAATACCGTGCCAATTAAGCGCACTGATTCCATAATGGCCGGAGAGGGTTCAGAGCTGGCCTAGCATGGGAGGCGCCCCTTGAAGTTTCTGCACGACGCCTAGACGCGAAAAGCATTTCTGCCATCCGTCAATCATTTTCATACTTTTGTTCGGTGTGACAGGAGAGGCCATGGAAACGCTCTTGCGTGCTAGATATTTTGAAGATCTCTTTTTGGTACTCAGAAAAGATTTCGGCTAAGCAAAGGTCGCTTCCTCCATTTCGGTTTTACCGCACGTACGATCTTCAAAGTTGGGGGGGGGGGGGATCTGGCACTGCAAGGATGTGAGCCTTGACCCCCGCCCCCCCCGATTAGAAATGACTTCCGGAGCCCCTGCAGCCAGCGTAGTCAGAGAACATGATTAACCCAGACGAAATCGAGATGAGAGGCGCGAGTCCACGACTGCAATGGCGAATGAACAAAGCCAAATGCTAACAACAATGATGATGATAATGACGTGCCGCTAGAGAAAAAAAAACATACAGCGCCTCCTAGCGATAGAACTTAGCAGTACTACCCAGGTAGCAATGCCAAACCAAGCCAGTCCATGTGCAGCCAACATAGAATCCAAAATGGCTTCTTCTTTGTGGCGTTTCCTGCTGATTGCTCGCGACGATTTTCTCCTAAAAATGGAACTTTCGGACTTCAAGCTGTTCGAAACATTGGTCTTGAATATGCACTATTTCTATCGAGTAGGTCACAGTTTCTCTTTTCGTTCTGAAATATCGAACAAGTCCGAAATATTGACGTCCAAAAAATGGGTTGGCGACTGTATACCCAGCAGAAGTTGATAGGAGTGTGTGTCTTGATATGGGGAGAGTGTCCTTGAATAAACCCAGACTTTGTCCAGCAGATAAATATCCAGTGTGTCGAAATTATGAGAAAACTAAAATTACGAGGAAGACGAAAGTCGAATTGAATTATCTGACCATTCACTATTTGATTTGAATTCAAAATTCAAATATTTGTGCACCCTAACAATTCTAGTACCAAAAAAACAACTGAAATCTGAATTGCGGTTTTTACAACCCATCAGCCGACAAGAAGGAGCACCAGCGGCGGGCCATCAGCATCTTTGAGCGCATGCGTGCAACCATTTCAACCGCTCTGTTGAGGTGCGCATTGCACGTTGGATATTTTTTGCCATTCTTTTCCAAAGTCCTTATATTTATGTCCTAGTTGAGCTGCTAGCTGTAACTAACTTGCTCCCTTCGCGTGGACTTTACAGGCTTGCTGTTTGGCTCATGCACCGACTCATGTCTCGCATGTTGACTGGTGTCTACGTGCCTAAGGGCCAAATCGATCTCCTGAAACGAGCAAGTGAGGTGCGTTTGAGTCTTCTCACTTGGCTGAATTAAACCAGAAATGTTTAAAAAAAGCACCTCCTCTTGCAGCACAACATTCCCATGGTGTACCTGCCCCTTCATCGAAGTCACTTGGACTACATTCTGGTGACCTTCTTGCTTTACCTGAATGAACTGAAGGTGCCTCTGGTGGCGGCTGGGGACAATCTGCTCATTCCACTGTTTGGGTAAGTGCTCTCCCTGAATCTTGGCGTGTTCCCTGCTGAGTTCTAACTTTGGTTAATTAAAGAAATTTGTTTGACTGAAAATTTCTGCAGGATCTGCGAGGGCACACATAAAATGAATAAACAAACGATTCGAGAAAATGTGAATATTATTTGAAGTAAGCTGGTAAATTTACCTTCTAAAATTTAATGTTTTCTCTTTGCTCACACTGAACATGAAAGTTTTATGAACAGGGCAAAGCACTCATGTAAAAATTTAAAAATGGCATGGTTTAGGACTTGACTGCATATCTCTGTACTATTCTGTTTGTCCTGGGTCGAAAAAGGCATGTAGGCAGCTATTTGTAGGGCTGAGAATGATGGCATGAGTATGTCTTCAGTGTAGCTTTTTATGTTTATTTAGATGCATAGTATTTGTAGGGCCACTTCTAGTTCTTTCGTGCCTGTGCTAGGGATGTGGCCTTCATTGCGACGTCACACTGATGATGTCCTGCAATGGTGCGGGCCTGACCGTGGTGCTGGAACGGTGATGAGTCCTAAGAAAGGAAACCCTCGGGTTGGTGTGTGTTGATGTAACACTGTGACATCACATGACACCATGACATCACATGACACCGAAGTCACGTGACACTGTGATGGTATGGCATGACGCGACTCGACGTCACATTGCACTGTGACGTCCTGTGACGTAAAGTCGCTGGATTACATGCTTTCCTGATAGTCACGTGGCACCCTGACATGACGGCACTGACATTATGTCATGTGACCTAACGTCACCTGACACTGTGACGTAAGGTGCCACCATGTCATTGTAACATCACTTCACGTGACATCATAACATGCGACACTGTTAAATGACGTGACCTGACAAAATATCACATGGTCATAAGATGTAAGGTCACATGACCACATCCTTTTCTGATGGTCACATGACACTGACATCATGGTGTCATGTGACCTGTGATGTGACGTCACATTATGATGTCAAAGTAACCACGTGGTGTGACGTCACAGTGTCACATGACATCAAGACGTCTGGTTACACCGTGTCATTTGGGAAATGCCGAAAAAACGGGTAGTTTTTTTTTTTTTTTTTACTTAAAATGACTTTTCTACAACAGAACCCTGCTTCGGGGTCTTGGAGGGTTCTTCATCAAGCGCAGACTTGATTTCAAGGATGGCCGTAAGGATCATCTCTACAGGGCAGTTCTCAAGGAGGTAATTGGAATGACTTGTATGAGTGCTTGATGGCTTTAAAGGGGCACTAAAGACGTTCTTGGGTTGGTCTTATTACGGCTATAACTGCATTGAATCACTCCAAGCAAGGGCAAGCACAAAAATCTTGTTAGGCCTTGTTGACACTTGTGAAAGACACTCTTGCCGTCGATTGAATTTTCTCATTGAAAAAGCTGTCTTTGCCACGTCTGCCATGCATGCGTGGCTTTGGCTCTCTTCAAGCTTTGCCAAAACGGCGAGGTTCTACAGACATTGCGGGTCGTCACGTCGTTTGTTAGGCTGTGCTGTCTTGTAGTTGCTTTGGCTGCATTTGATACCTGCTTTCACTCCAAGATAATCAACCTGGATAAAGTAAAGCCTCTCCAAGCAGCCAACACTTCCGTGCTACGCAATATAAAATATCCCAAACTTGGTACCGCTGACAGAATGCATGCACAACATTGTCTCGCTGATGCAAGAATAAACAAACAACCGGCAAACCGGAGGCGACTGGTGTATTATGTACCGCTTACGGCTTATTCGGCACCAGTTTTATTCCACAGCTTGTCCTTGTCGGCATTGCCTTTGTAGTTCAGATACCTCTTGTCCTAATGTATTGAATAATGAGGTCTCAATTAGTGCCTCTGCAACTTGGACAGGATGTAGATATCAGCAAACAGAATTTCTGAATTGCATTCCGATTGGCTTGCGGCAAGCAAAACATTTTCCTGGCGGCAAAATTGGGTTTTGGACTGAGGCTTCTCTGCCACCGGATATTCCGCTGACTTTTGATGCCCGGCATCGAAATCAATGCAGATTCTCCTCCTGCAGATCCACAAGTATGAGCACACCATCAGTAGTGCCCTTTTTTGCAGTAGAAAAATATCACTGTAGCATTTAATTGACATCATTCTTTTTATAGTTTTATATAATACTAAAGTGCTGCACATGTATATGTAGTAGTAGTAGTAGTAGTAGTAGCACAATGTGTCTTTATTCAGAGAAAATAATATGACCTACTAGCTTTTGACCCTAACCATTAGCAGGAAGGGGGTGGATGGGGACAATCGGGAATAGAGAAGACTGTTAGCTGCATGTAACTTCGGCAAGGTTGGCCTAGTTCAGCTCTAAGGCCCATAGTGCTTTACTTCATTAATATAAGTACAATAGTCCCTCAATATAACAAATTGTTCGAGACGGCAAAAAAGCCTGATATAAGTAAAGCGAAAGAGCCAAAAAAAAAGTGACAGCAGCCTTGAAGGGGGACGAGGGAACACTGCAAAAGATTTTAAAAATTTTTTAATTAAACGCATCTTGGTGATGAATAACTCGTGACACCTTTACCGGTCATTACACCCAATTGTTATTGTAAATTGCTACAGAACTCCATGTAAATCGAGTGATGAAACATATTCTGTGATAAAAAAAAAAAATTATGCGGAGTTTGCTGATAATTTTTTTCCAGGCATCAGTCCTCAAGTTGTTTCAGACATTGCAGGAGCACTGTCACCTCCGCTGCACTGCACTTTGTTCCAAAGCAGCCGTAGGATGTTTTGCATCTCTGCAGATGTTGATATTTTTCGAGGTGCCTCTCCGACATCTGTCTTTACTTTGGCCGCTCACAATGTCTACGGTTGCAACATCGTGGCAGGAGCAACAACAGGAATGTCCGCATCAGCAAGCGCGAACAAATCTAAGTTTTCCTCGGTGGCTTCACCAACGTGTTTGCACACACTCCTGTAGAGATTGTTGCAGCTCTGGGAATGATGCGCAGGCTCGGCAAGCATTAACGCTCAAGAAAGTCAGATGCGCGCAAAACAGTTGGCGATCTTTGATCTTCAAATTACAGACGTGCTTTCTCTTGCATGAGAAACTCTTCTCGAACCCGTCCAGTATGTCTTGCTTGTTCTGCAAGATGGTCAACAGTGTAGGACAGTCGATGCCAGATTGTCGAATTCCTTGGCGATTTCTGACTTGGGCCAGCCACTTTCTTCAGCCTCACAGATCGAAGCAACTTTTGGTAAACATTCCCATATGACGCACGTGTACATCTCAGGCACGTGCGTCGGGGACTCCCGAAGAGGTGATCTCCTCCTTTACTTCTTTGACCCAATTTGGACGGGAGTCGTGTCGCGGGTGCCGTGTGTAGCGTCGGAACATGGACGCACTGCTCCCTGGCTGTGTCAGTACATTGACATCGGAAGCGGCGCTCCGCCCTCCGTTGCCCGTTGTGCGTTTCCTGTTGACTTACCGTAGAATGCCGCACATTCGCCCATTCCACATTAAGCGCCCACACCTAAATTTGTAAGATCTGAGGAAATACGCGCAGTACATTTATATGTAAAATTGATGACCAGACAAGCGCCCATCCCCTATTTTTTCGCGATCATCTTTTAATTTTGAGTGGGCGCTTGCCCGGTGTTTTACGGTAGGTGGAGGAGGCGGAGGGAACACAAGAATCTCCGTGCGCCCCCGTGTAGGCTTACATGCTTTCGGCATTTCGGCCTTCGTAATAAGCGTGGTCGGCTGCCGATATATTTAGAATGATCCCGTTCAAAATGCGTGCATTTCTGTCGGGACCACATTGAACTTTGAATAAAGCAATAATTAAAATAAAGCGATTTCATTATAACGAGGGACTACTGTATTTTTTTTTTCTAAAGCCTAGCATTTTCACAAGACCTCTGGTTTTCTGCAAAACTAAGTTCAGAGCTTGGAGTAAATGAAGCAGCATTGCAAATGGCATAGTGCAGGGGTAGCCAGGTGAACCTATGCAGAGAACCCCAAAAAACAATGATATTCAGTGAAGACCTGCGCTAAAAAGAAGGTGCGGCAGTGTTTTTTAATTTAATCTAGGTGACCACATCGAATTCCACTACTAAAGCGATTGCTCATCCTGTTTCTTTATTGTGTGTCCCCATTTGTGAAACAAGCACTTTGAAGTTCAGCTCAAATGACGTCCTTGCAATCCCGAGCAGCTCAGCTGGGAGTTTGTTTGTGAGGCATTTGATTAAACTGCCTTTATTGCTAAGGAGAGTGCCTCACACCATTAGGTATGTATGCCAACACAAGGCTGCCAAAACACAAGCACTCTTTTATTCTTTACCTTTTTCCTTCTGACCTTGCAGGGGGAAGGGGGAGGGTATATGCTTGGCAGAAGGCAGCAAGCCATACGTGAACCTGCAATGGGCCGCATGCGGCTTACAAGCCATGGTTTGGCCACCCCTAGCACAATGGGACTAGCCATGGTTCATCATTAGTAGCTGCTTGCTGACCAACTTCCATTCCAATTTCTGCAGTACATGATGGAAATCTTGAAGTCCAACCACAGCTTGGAGTTCTTTCTGGAAGGTGGCAGGTCACGAACTGGCAAGACTCGTTTGCCGAAGGCAGGTCTCCTCTCCGTCATTGTGAGCTGTCTTAACGAAGGTTTGTTTTGCTTCACTACTTTCCGATAGTTTGGTGTGTTTGTAATTACTACAATGCATTGCTTTTCTTAATTGCAGAGCTGATGCAAGATGTGTACATAGTTCCCATTTCCATCAGCTATGAAAAGATCTTGGATGGCAACTTTGTTAGTGAGCAGCTTGTGAGTTGTTGAGCACTGAAAGGGTGCTTGCTTTGGCAGAGGCAGGTCAGCACTGAACTTGTTTCTTTTATTAATCAGGGTGAGCCAAAGGTGATGGAAACATTCACAGCAGCTTTGAGGTCAATCTGGCACATACTGCATTCAAACTATGGCTGTGTTCGTGTGGACTTTTGCCAGCCCTTTTCTCTAAGGGTGAGTCTTTTTTTTTTTGTTTCCCACGGCCTTCTTTTTCAATGTACTTCATTTGACATTCTGCCAACCAGGACAAATCAATTAATTACAGGAGTTCTTGGACTCGGCCAAAAGTCAGCGCCTGGATCCACTGGCGTATGACTGTCCATTGTCATTGCTGGAAAGCCTCGCACCCCCCACCGGTCCGCAAGAATTCAGGGGCTCAGCAAGCACAAACTCCTTGTGCAGTGCGGACAGTGCTACTGATGATTGCCGTCATGCTATCAAGAGCCTGGCGAACCATGTTGTGCAACGTAAGTTTGACAACATTGTTCTGATGCACAGGGGAAAGTGTGAGGTTGTTGACTTGGCATTGAAGGCTCTGCACGGTTGAATCTTTACGAAGTTTCAGAGCTATGCATGTGCCCATATCTTTCAGTAAGTTGCTTATGAAGAGCTAAAGCTGGGTGTACTTAAAGCTGTATAGATGCTTGCCCCAATTGAGTAGATACAAATGGGCTAAGGTCTAAAAAGTTTAAGTGGCCCTCCAATGATTTTTGGACTGGTTTAAATTTTGCTCTGAAACGGAGCTCATTGAATGTAAGAACATGGAGGAAAAAGATTTTGCTGGAAATTAACATCATTTTGGGAGTTGTAAGCAAATTAAAATTGCAAAAACAAGCAAAAAGTGTTTGCTTTATGACGTTTCAAGAGAAATGAATTGATTGGAGGTTTGGAGCTAAGCGGCTGGCCAATTGCAGTGATGTGATTGCTACGCCATTTGCGCCAACTGAACCAAAGTACTTACCCTGCTGCATCGTGCTACACATCGCCAAAATGTGATGAAGTTGCACCAACATTGTGCCAAATGTAATTTTACTTTATTAATATTGAGAATATAATAGTTGAGGCCCCGCTACACGGCTGTATCCTTAGGATAGGCGTGCCAAAATTTTCAAAACTTTCAATTATCACCTTAAATAAGGTACTACTGAATTTGACCTCTGTATCAAACTTGACAGTGCTTAGAGGTTGTGCAATATTTCTCCGTGGTCTATTCTGGTAAGTTAGGTAGCTTCATCGAGTGCACTCCTCACTGCGCACGAGCACACTGTAGTGAAGCGAAAACCGCAAAGTAGGCATTGCGATTTTGTGTATCTTCCTTCCGCCGCAGCTCATCCGCATGCTAAAAGGAAAACACTCGTCCAGAGTAGGACACAGAACTGTTAGGTATATAAAAAAAAAAAAAAAACTTGGTAGATGCTGATGTAACAACTCTACCTTCCAGTAAAAGTTCTGAATAAGACTGCAGCTAGTATATATGAGACTGCAATATTCTGATGATTTTTGTTTTTCAAACTCGAGATTTGGCAAAGATACTTGTTGCGGGAAGATTTGAATGGGTGGCTCTATAAGCTTATATTTTTATGTCAACTTCCTTGTTCAGTTCTTACCTTTACATAGGTTCCATCTATGCAATAGTACAGTAAATGGAGTAAATTAAAACTAAATTATCTGGGGCTGGAATGGAAACTTGGGAAAAACCTTAATGGGTTCAACTCGATTGCTCCTGAGGCTTATTTACCGTTCATATGCCGATTTTCGTTATTATGAATTTTTACATAATATCATTGATATTAATAATAAAATGTCAAAAGCTTTGTTTTTAACTGAATTATTAATTGCAGTTTTATTACAACCTTTAGGACTTCACTGGAACATTGATTTGGGTGCTCAATATTATTCTGCTCAGACATTATTTTCATGGAATATCATTTGATTTACCTTTGGCTCTGTACCTAAAATAACCATACACTGCAGTTCCTACTGTCCTTCATCAGTAAGCATATTCTTGTCATGCCTGGTGGTTCTACATGCAACTGCAAGTTATACCCCATCTCACTAAAACCGTACAGTACAGCCAAAGCTACGGGGAGAGAGTGTGTCCTGACCTGATCAAGAGGAGGGAAAGGAGGAATGGGGAAGCCCAGCCCTTCTTTCCCATTCCTTCTTTTCCTCCTCTTGAACAGGTTGGCATACGCTCTCTCCCCTGTAGCTTTGGCTGTACTGCACAGTTTTAGTGAGACGAAGTAGACTTCTTTGTTTAGGGTGTTTGAGGGAACCCAACCTGCCATGCAATTGATGCTAACAACAGGTTGCACAGAAGTGGGCAGGCAAGGTAGACAGTGTCTTTGAAAAAGAGGCCAACACATGAATTATAGCATATAATATTCACATTAAATTTGCAGTAGTAGGAACAAGAATGAAGGGTGTGCTTATGCTCCAAAAGTTCCTTTTGCTAGTGCAAAATGGAAGTTCTAGCTGCTCCAGAAGGTGCTCCAAAATGACTCTGACCGGTCACATCACAGCAATTGGCTGCGGGTTTGGTTTATGGCTGCTGTGCCAGAGATGCATGGGATGCATCCCAGTTAAAAATAACCATTGGGTCCAATTAGTTATTGACAATTAGAACCAATGGGGAATCCTATCTGTGATTTCGGACTCCTAGTTAGAAAAAGTCAGTTGGTTCCAATTAGTTGTCGACAATTAGGACCAATTGGGAATCCTATCTGTGATTTCGGACTCCTAGTTAGGAAAAGTCAATTGGTTCTAATTAGTTATCGACAATTAGAACCAATGGGGAATCCTATCTGTGATTTCGGACTCCTAGTTAGAAAAAGTCAATTGGTTCCAATTGTCGAAATCTAATTGAACATCACCAATTCGAACCAGTTCGGCATTGTCAATAGGATGCAACCAATTGGAAAAACCTTTTTCTGCTTTCGGACTCCCAATAGGAAAAAAGCAATTGGTCCAACTGTTCAAATCATATTGACAGATACGAATTGGGACAACTATTAGTGTTTGGATATCCCAAACTAGAAAAAGTTGCAACTAGATCTAAAGGTAGATAATCACGACAGTCTTTATTTAACTTATTAAAAATGATTTCTTGCTTCTACGCATCGTCGTTTTCTTCCAGGATAGCAGCTGCAGCTTCCCTAAAATAAAGGATAAATATGCATTAAATGACCTTTATGGGACTATAAATGTTTAAATCAAGCTTAGAAACATACTAAACATTTTTTTTTCGCTGCTAAGAAATTAGTTGCAGCGGTATAAACCTGCAGGCCTTCCATTAAAAGGCAAACATCACTGGGTGACTCAAACACATTGGCCAAAATTAGGAGATGAAGCTTTTGCCGAGACTGGGCTAAATTTGCATCTGGGATGGTTTAAGACTACTAAGTTTTATATGAGCCTGTGAGACATATTCTCTGCTATGAGGAGAAAAAACAGTCAATTCAAAGGGATCTCTGTAAAGCTGGCCAGTGCACCTGAGAAATGCTTAAAGTGTGCATGGGTGAAAAAATAAGTGTCTTTCGTATCTCGAAAAGAAATCGTGCATTGCAGGCTGTGTTCCAAATCTTACTCGAATGGATCAGAGGCAACGCTGGATGCGGGTAGGTTTTTGAACTTACCCTGAGTGAGACAGAGTAAATTTTGAAACATAGCTGCAAATAGTCCGCCGGATGAGATGCAAAATTTTCGGCACCTACTGTTATTTTATGAAGTCATCAAATTCCGGAGGTAATGACCCGACATCACCGACCGACCGACCCCCCTCCCCCCCCCCCCCCCCCCCACCCCACTTCCCACTCATCGAAAATTCCCCCAAAATTGCTTAATTTTGAATCCCAAAGCTTCAATTTTTGAAACTGTGCCCAGTCAGTGTTTTCAGCAATTCATAGTTTAGTTTTGAGATGCTTAAAACGCACTTAACTTTCCTCGCGGATACCCAACAACTTCCGAACTGATAGCTGCCCGGAAAATTTTCTTCTCTAAAGCTATACATTCACGCTCGTATCGTTCACTGCAGATCAAGCAACGAGTTTCTCAGCAGATCTAACAATCCGAAATCCCCAAACGGCAGCCCAGCAAGGACAAAGAAAATTTCTTACCTTGCTCCCATAAACGTTTGTTGCCAATCCTTCGCGCTCTAACAAGCTGGCAGGTCAAATGAAGTAATTATCACCGCACCATTAAGCACTCTGCAGCAGTAAAACACACAAAAAAAAAACTTTCTTGAATCATTGCCATAACCATGCTACGAATGCCGTGCACGCCATCGGCTCCATGTGCTTCATGCTGCCACCGTCCCAGTGCTGTTAAGTTTTTTTGGGCGAAGTCGCCAGGACGCGACCTAAAAGTCGCCAGTTTTAGCGAAAAGTCGCTGAGTGGTGATGATGATGATGACCTTTTTCGGATTTTTTTTTGTATAAAACGTAAAGGTTTTTTTTTTTATTTATTTATTTTTTTTGTGACGAGACAAGTGAATAGTTGGAGTCGGCCGTCCCATTCCCAAGGACTCGCCAACACCTTGAGTGACTCAAGGCGTTGGCGAGAGGATCCTGGTCCATGAACAAAACAGCGGAAGCCTGTTCTGCTTCATCCTTATCGAACAAAACCCTCGCTTTAACCCGCGTTAAAGCGAGGGAATCGCTTCGGGGTCGGAGAACGTCACCTCACCCACAACCGGATGAATAAAAATTAACAAAAATGAGTGACATCCAGAGCTGTCCCCTGGAAGCCACCGGAGAGCTATCCGACTGACATATTTTCCCCCCGTTCACGTAGCTTTAGTAACAATTTACATAACTAGAAAAAAAAAAAAAAGTCCCCAAAAAAGTCGTTAAGACTCCAAAAACACAAAATTGTCGTTAGGACGACTGAAAACACTCTAAATTTAGCGACTTTCTCGCTAAGTTCACACCACTGCACCGTCCTCGCGGCGCCATCTTTGCCGCCCAGTGTACACCGACGCTGCCGGCAATTCCGACTAATTCTAGCAACAGATTTTTTTTCTTCTTTTTTTTTCGTTTTTATATATATTTTTTTTATTATTAAACAGCGTACGAATGTTTTTTCCCCCATTTCAAATTGCGATCTTGAAAAAGTATATTGCAACGCAATACTGAAAAAAAAAAGAAATTGCGATCTTTGGAAACTTGAAAATTGGAAACATTGAAAACAAAGTTGGAAACATTGAATCCAATTAGAGTGACCGATTAGGTGACCCAGTGCCAACTGAATTTTATTGATCCTAATTGGGATAACCAGTTGGAAACATTGAATCCAATTGAGTGACCAATTAGGCGGCCCAGTGTCAACTGAATTTTATTGATCCCAATTGGGATAACCAGTTGGAAACATTGAATCCAATTAGAGTGACCAATTAGGTGACCCAGTGCCAACTGAATTTTGTTGGTCCTAATTGGGGTAACCAGTTGGAAACATTGAATCCAATTAGAGTGACCAATTAGGTGGCCCAGTGCCAATTGAATTTTGTTGGTCCTAATTGGTGTGACCAATTGGAAACATTGAAACTAATTAGAATGACCAGTTGGATGACCCAGAACCAATTGAATTCCATTGACTCCAATTGGTTCCAATTGAATATCCTAATTGGAGTCAATGGTTATTTTTAACTGGGATGGTATGCATCGTCAACAGAACCCCTTGCAACATCAGAGATTCAGGCTCCGAACGTGATCGTGCTGACACAGAACAACATTTGTCTCCACTACGGTGCGCCCCGCCACGCTGAGAAGAACCTGACCAAACGTGTTCCAGTGCGGTCCAGCACACTCTGCTCCACTTTATTTCCGCTTTCTCTGTTCGGTACCAATGTGATTGGTGTGATCAAAGCGGGATCAAAGCAGCGATTCGGGGCAGGGGTTTGCTGCACCGCAATAGGTTTGAAAAAGAAGCGAATGAGGAGGATAGGGAGTGCAAATAAGCATTTATTTTCTCCCGAATGTCACACAAATGTTGGTGGAAAAAATCACAATACTGTGCCCATCAAAGTCGCTCGGTGCGAATGTATCGGCCGGCCTCGACGGACGAATCGACACTTGGCATTTGTTCTTTCAAGTGGGACCAGTTGCCGCTGCGTACAGCTAGCAGATGATCGTAGATATACTCCGTTCAGCTGAGACGGCAGTCTATGCCGTAAGCACGAGAGCTCAAGGTCGCTGCTTTGAAGCGTTCTTCCGCAGAACGAGCACTTGCACTAGAAATGCATGTCGCAAAGCCCGGAGCGTGAACTAGCTTACGCTTGTAGCTTTGGCTGCAGTTTCAGCTTAAAGGGGTACAGAATCAAAACTTGAAATATCCCCTGAACGCTTCGAAATGGGTGAAATATGATCCATGACATCCGTAAATGATAATTATGCTTGTATTTTCAGCGAATAGCTATATTTTTTTTCCAACCTGCAGATTCTGACGAGCGCTTCGAAATCAACCATTGAGGCAACGCGATGTGCCTCGAGATATTTGCCCGTGACGTCACGGTCGCAATGTCACTGGCCCATGAGCGGCCCAGGGTAGCATAATTGCGATCGTCGTCACTAGGTGGCGCCAGCTTTATCGTCAACACGTAACAATCCCGCTAAGTGGGAATACCCGATGTATGGTGTACTAGAACTGAGAGGTGTGCCAAGCTCCGCTCGTTCCCTCACGATTCCATCAGACATGCCGCGCCATGGCGCTGTGACGCGAGACATTCCAACGAAGCTCGGCCCCTCAACTGCCAGGTGGTATTGGGAAATTGTTTTATTCGTTTTAAGATAGCTTTTCTTGCGTTCATGGACGAAAGACTGGTGTTTGTGGGCTCTGCACAAAACATAGGCGCTAAAATTTTGCTTCCATACCCCTTTAAGGGTGAACCAAGTATAGTCAATCATCCATGAGGTCGTCTTGAATTCTAATTTACTTTATCTTTGGCACGTCTTCCAGCTTTTGCCGGCACCCCGGGCAAGTGCATTTGGCTTGTTAGGCGTACGATGAAGCTTCTTTGGGTAGGATGTCCTGGAAAAGTTGTCCACACATGGACCCGCCCAATTGAGCGCACAGGGGTGTAAACCAACACAAAAAACATGAACTTGCCAAACTGAACGGCAATAACAACACACAACACGGAAAGAACAGCAGAATTAAACGCAGAAGTGGTCTGTCTCGCATACACCCTGACTTGTTCCAGCATCCAGATTTCCAAAATGGGCGCTCGCACGAGATTAGTGCATTGGCCTTAGACTGGTTTTCTGCTTCTGCTGCTGGGAGGTGGGCACCTGATGGACTTTTTTTTTTTTGTTGTTTCTATACAATTTAAACACCTTTTTCTTTATTTTTCATCTATTTTTTGCTTAATAAAAATGAGTTTTTGAAGGAATATCAATAGTTTACGGAGTGATACTTTATTTCGCCTGCTTAAAAGAAATTCTGACAGCTCTTTTCAATGCTGCCAATCACAAAATCATTCTCCTACAATGTTGCCACTCTGCCCCTAGCTGCACGTTCTGTACACACTGGTACCACCAGACGTTGAGCTGTTTTTTTAATTAAATTATGATGCACTAATATTTTGTGGATAACTACTTGTTCTCTGAGAATCCTGAACAACTAATGAGGTAATAACATAAACAGTGGCGTACCAAGTTGTTTTTGGGTGACCCCCCAACCCCCCCACCTCCCCCACCCCACCCCACCCCCACCAAGCCGGAAGGCAGTGCTCTTGGTATCCCTCGGCGCCTACGTCCAGTGTTTGCCCTGCCCAGTGGTGGCTGCTTCAGGGGGGGTAAAACACATGCCTTGCCCCCCCACTCTGAAAACTGGGGGCGCAAGTGCCCCCCTTGCCCTCCCCCCGGTTGGTACACCCATGAACATAAAAAGTGTAGAAGCTCAAATATGGTTGGAGTGCCCTTTTAACACAGAATATGTTTGCCATGAGGGTAACTTGGTGGAAATATAAGTCAGAAAGGTGAGACGCAAAAGTGTTACAAACCAAGAGAACCATTATATAGTGTCATCGCCACTGTAGGGTTCCCTTGCGGTTCACACCTCGTTTTCATAGGCTGGCAGAAGCAATTATGTGACCGTATCGACAGCCGTTGGCGTTCCGGCATGAACAGTTCCAGTTCTAAGCATAGAGGGAGAAGGTGAAAGAGAAGAAACTTTAGTGCCGGTGTATTTTATTTATTTATTTATTTATACATACTGCAGCCCCACTGGGGCTATGGCAGGAGTGGGAGTTAAACACAGACGGTCCAGACATCACTGTGGACCACTGTCAACGGCACACAGAAATTCATCTGGTTGTAGTGATCGGATGTTTCCTGGTAATAAATTCCAGCGTTCAATGGTGTGAGGAAAAAAACTGTATTTAAACATATCAGTACGAGGATGAAAAGGTAAAATGTTTAATTCATGGTGGCTCCTAGTTGCAGTTGGCTCGAGAAACTTTATGTAGTTATGTAACGAGTCAAAACGTGATGAGTTAACCATGAAATACAGAGACTTTAGGCGCTCGATACCACGACGCTCAGAAAGAAGTCTTAGGCCTAACACGGAAAGATTAGAAGAAGGAGAAAAGTTTCTGTCATACCGACGACAAATAAAACGTACCGATTTCTTTTGTACTGATTCGACCTTATTTATATCGGACTCTTTGTAGGGAAACCAAATAATAGAACCATATTCGAGGATTGGGCGAATCAAAGTTTTAAAAGTTAAAAGCTTAGTATCTTGTGGTGCCACACGTAAGGTACGCCGCAGGTATCCAAGTCTTTTAAGAGATTTGTTACATGTCGTATCAATGTGCTTAGACCAAGATAAATCAGGCGTGAAAAGGAGGCCAAGATATTTATATTCAAAAACTCTTTCTAGGCATAGCCCGTCAAATGAATAATTAAACACTGAAGGTGATGAACGCCTAGAAAAGGTCATAAAAACCGTTTTACTAAAGTTGGTTATGGACTATGCCGATAGCTGGAGCCAGAAATTGTGCAACAAATGATGGCAGCGGTGGGATCACCACCATCGCTGCCACCCCCCATATGTATTGCCATACTTGTGCAGTAGTCATAAACAATTTCACTGAAATTTACCGACCCAAAATCATATTCTGTGTATGACTCTTTTGTCAGGTACGACCAAAGTATACTGTTATCTGTTCTCACCTTTTACAGAATCTTCAATGTCCTTGGCCTTAATGAGCACCAACTTGGTGGCCTTTCTGCTGCTAACCAAGCATAGAAAGGTGGGTGCTCGTCCCTCTTGAACCTTGAATGTAGTGACCCTATTATAAGTTCTTTCTTCATCATGCTAAGGAAAAGCTTTTCTCAGAGGCAAAGTGAGAAACTAGAGGCGTGTTTTCAACTGTTATGTGCTAATTGGATTGAGCGAGATGTCTAATATAGGATGAAGGACAATCCTAAGGAGTCTGCACTCCAGTTTATCACGAAAATTTCAAAAAGTTTTGCAACACCAGGCAACACTATCAAAGCTTTGTCTCGGGTTATTTAAAACCATACCTTGACAGCCAGGCCCAACAGATGTTCTTGGCAGTGTCGTTGGCATAATCCTAACAGTCATCTTGGCTAATCTGAACTAGCAGATGCCGGCTTTTATCTTGCGGAGTAGCCAACTCTACTGCAACCATGCCGATGTGCGAAGTGTTTCCTCGGTTGTTAAGAAAAGGCGATCCTCTAAGCTCTGTTGCGGTTTCACCCGGTCCCAGTGCGAATGCACCTTGAGACAGTATCACTCGGAGCATGGTGCCTGGAATGCGTCTTCGACTGGTGTGTTTACCGCCCTGTCCCACCCTTGGATTGAAAGTGGTCCCCGAGTGGCCACAAATTGCATCGCAGAAGCTGGCTTGTCATGCTGTCGGTTGTCGCGATCCTGGCGGTTGGTCGTAGAAATGCTGGCAAAAAAAAGTGAGGGGATGCAAGGCTTGCTGTCGTTGCAGTGTCCCATCTTGTGTCTGCTTACTTTTCCGTCGACTGTCTGGCTGCAGAGCGACCTACCGCAGAAAAAGCATCTGCTGCATCCAGCTCCTCTACTGTGCCATCGCCAAGATTGCGGCGGTCAATGCCGTGACACTTATCGGGTTTTCCACGTTCCGGATTGAATGCCTCCGAATAGAATAACATCCGCACAAGCTCTTGTGTAATTATTTATTTGCTGACGTCACAATGCTGTGGGGCCCAGGTAGGTGGCAGTTCAACAGGGTCCTGTGTTGCTTGAGTGGTTTCATCTCCTTTGTCCTCGTGGTCGGGTGGCTTGCAACGGGCACGGCCAGCAGCGGGCAGTGCCTGCACCCTTGGGGACGGCCCAGTGCTCGCATCCCCGTGGGCTCATGCCAGCAAGTACCTTTCGCTTGGGAGTTTGGTCAAGAGAGATAGGCCCGGCCATTGTCTCCTCGGTTGCTGTGTTTGCAGCACCCTCCTTGGCCATGTGACTCTTCCCTTAGGGCGGCACTTGGTGATATGTCGGCCCCGTCTTCGGAACTAGGTCGCACAACACCGGGCGTCGCACGGCTAGTTGCAGCCATGGGAAAGGGGGAGAACGGGAGGCAATGGGAAACTCCATAGAGGGTTCCCATACTTTTTTAGGACCTCACGGGGCAGAAGCGAAGGGACCACTTTTTAGGCCTTGGTAAACACACAAGTCGGAGACACGTTGCAGGCACCATACCCAGGGGTTGACGGGATGTCTACGTTTTCACCTTCCACCAGGGCGCCACCCTGCAGCAGCTGGCACACAGCCTGACATGGCTGCGCACGGCGGTGGGGCACCGTGACCACCAGGTGATGTGCCCGGGCGAGAGCGTGGAGTCTGTCCGGCACGCCTGTGCCCTGCTCGGCAAGGACCTGGTTCTCTCGGAAACCATCCAGATGGAGTGGTCCTCGGGCGACACTGAGAACAACAACCTCAAGATCGTCTTCTACCGGCCGATGCTGCGGCTCCCAGGAGTGCTCGAGCTGCAGTACTACGCCAACGCGGTGCTCGACGTTTTCGTACACGAGAGCATTGTTGGTGAGTGGCACCACCGTTGTCTGTCGTACACACGGACGGCACTTGCCTGACATGAGGGAGCGGCAAAACTCTTCCTGTTGTGACTCGTCTGTCTATCGATTTCCGCAGCCCTTTCCTCTGCGATCATGGCTCCTCTGGGCTGTCTGTAATCGTGTGGTGCACGCTACCAATAGTCCCTTTCGCTAAATGGTTGGTGCACCAAGTGGAGCGCTAGACACATTTACGTCTGGGAAGCAAAATTCTAAAGACTGGCACACATATTTGCATTTGACGATGCTCGAGAGCTTTGCTTTCTCTCGCAACCGCCTACGACGAAAGGACACACTGGCTCATTGTCTCCATCTATCCAGCAGCCCTGGAATGGCGTATAACTAGACTGAAGGTTTTGCAGTATTTGCTAGACCAAATTTATGCACCATCTATCACCAATGATCGCTTATAACATTGTCAGAATTATTTCGAGCCACCAGCGAAAGAATGATGTGTAACAAGCTACAAAAATATATGCACAGATCAAAAACATTCAGGGGCTACCTAATAGATGGTGCCAGTGTGTTTTCTCATTGTAAGCGGTTACGAGCGTACACAACACGCTAGAGCACAGTCGGACACAAATGTGTGAACCAGCCTACAGTCACGGGGAGCATGTGCAGCACTTGTATCTATGAGCCCATTGTGCTGTTTGGTGTTCCAGTCATGTAGAAAAATGCCTTTTGGAGTTTCACTTTTGCTTGCAGTGAGGGAATAGCTAAATGTGGTTATGAGTGTTTGGCTACTCTTCTGGACAGGACTGGAGAAAGGCGATGTTATGAACCTAGTTTTTGCCCTTGGTGTCCCGATGGGTTCTCAGTTTCTGCTATGCTTCGTTTGTACTCTAGATGCTGTTTGTTTGCTCACATGTTGTCCCGGGAAAGTTGTAGCAGTAACATTTGTACTCTAAATCTAAATAAACCATATTTGTGTTCTGTCAGCAATGCATGGGAAACGTGGAATGTGGCTGAAACACTTTTATTCTGGTCTCGTATTTATAAATATATAATTCATTAAAATTGCAGCTCCGGGTGAATATGACAAAATTACTAATAAAGCAGTTTACATTTTTCTTGCCATAGTAACTTAGTCTTACATCAATGTAACTCCCCTCAATGTGGTAAAATGTAATCAAACAAATTAATGCAAGGGCAAATTACCAGTATATTCAACATAATCTTTCTGAGGTGGAGTCGATCATGTTGGGCGCATGTTATCGTCTGTACAGCCATTGGGGACACGGTTGATCACATCCCTGCTAGCCAAGATACACAGGGGCAGAATTGGCCAGAATGTACCTTGTCAGTCGTTCCCCATTGTAAGTGAGTGTAGTTCTGTTCGCTTTTGCCTTCGTTGTTTGCTGCTGCTTGTGTCGAATGCAACGAAATGACTGGCATATATGTTAGAAGCTGTATGGTTAGTAAGATAAGCCAACTCCCTTCACAACAGTAATCAGCTTACACTCACTTATGCTGTAAAGGGAAATTGGTTAAAATAGCCAAAAGCCTGAATCACATTTACAGCGATTTGTTAGGTGTGCGGTGTCGAACACAGAAGTGTGAAAGCGTCCAGCATTTTGCTTGTTATCTCTAGGTAAGCTGTGTAATGTGGGGCCTGTCACAAGGGATGCATTTGCAATGGCACTGCGGCTGGAGGTATGATTCGGAACTTGCTCCTGTGATTCTAGCCACTGCCTTGTTCTCTCTTGTGGGAGATGAGCTGCCCCTGACGCTTGGCACCAGTGACGTCGTGACGGTATCACGGAAAGAGTTGGTAGACAAGTGCCAGGATCTTGTCAACATCCTTCAGCATGAGTTCGTACTTGTCCTGGTGAGCCTCTTTTTGGGGAGCACAGTGTGGACCAGGGTTTGGCATGCATGGGAGCATTCAAGCATTGGGCATTTTTGTTTCAGCCTTGCAATAATGCTGTTTGGGTGGTTGGCGACGCCATTGGCAGCCTCATCACGGCAAACATCTTGGCTGTCTGTCAGGTTCGTATATAGGTACTTGATTGCTTTCGGCTTGCTCACAATTGTCTTGTTCGTTGCCGTAGTTGGTCTTGCTAGCTTTCGAGTTTGTTTTGAAGATTTTATCAATCGAACACCTACAGAGCCCTTCGTGCGCAACATAATACCCTGTTCAATATGCTGCCACTTCGCTACCTGAGGAGATGACTAGCTGGTGTGTTTGAAAGGGAAACCTACAAGTTGATCATTGAAGTTTGGGTATAGAAACTTGTAGTTTGTGGATTATACAAGTTTTCTGGAATCTCTGCAAAATGTGTCCACTTTGGTGTTTGTTATATCAGCAGCTCTACTTTTATTAGAATGAGCTGCAAAGAAACAGGACATTTTTGCGAACCACAAAAGAACAAGTGATGTTTATTGCAATGATCTGGCAAACTCTGCACGAGTTCCTTGAAATCGCAGTTTTGCTTGACGCGAGTTAATAAATATAAAGTTTCTTCATACTCCCCCGGAATGAGCATCCAGATCATTCGTAGATGGATTCAATCGAGTACAGAATTTGAGTCAACCTCCTTTTGACGGTTCCATTGAAGAGTTGCACCATACAGGCTCGGATATGGCCATCTCGTCCCGTCAGTGTTTTGTCAACTTCCCCTGTTTTCCACAGTTGTCGTAATGTCTTATTGCAAGCAATTCAGAGTGCAAAAAAAATAAATGAATTTAGAAAAGGATCGTCTTATCGCAAGTAAATCGGAATGCGAAAGAAAAAGCAAATAAAGCTTTTTAGCTAACAAAAAAAATCAAGCTGTTCTTATTCTAGAATGGATGGATTTGCATCAATAAAAAATTATTAATTAAACTGCACTTTAAATTTGCAGTACCATATCTGCTCGAGTAATAGCCGCACTGTTTATGAAGAAAACCTGAGGGTTCGCTTTCTCGTGAAGCATACGTATTGTCAATCACCGTGATCGACAGCATGATTTCGGCGTTTTACAGGATAGAGATAACGTCTTCGGCGCGAAGATACCATCTGTGAAGATTGCATTTGTATGGCGAATCGTGTTCTCGATCTAGTTATTCGCTATGTTGTTTATGCGCAACGCGATGATTGGCTGTATATATGCTTTGCGGGAAAGTAGACACAAGGTCCTTGTTCATAAATAGTGCGGCTATTACTCGAGTAAATACGGTAATCCTTTTTTGACATTGTTATCAGTCTTCTGACAAAATAATAAATCAATCTTTCATGTTTACAAATACAAGTAGCAATTAAGAATCACTATTTTCTAGCCACAGTGATTTAAATCAAATTAATCTGATTTAGATCAAATAATTCTGATTTGCATTTTTTTTTTTAATCTGGATATTTTTGCATTTTGCTTTATGAGCAGACCTACATATTGGCAAATCGCCTGCTACTCACAAAAAATGGTGGGCTACCTAGTCGGGCGAAACATCAGTATTGTGCAAACAATATTCAGACTGCTTCGTTCAACATCAGTTTACATTCACACAAACAAAAATTCATATGATAACACACAATTCTGTACTAAAGGGGCAATGCAGGCGAGTTGGTTCTTGATCAGCGCTCATTCTGTCTTCTTTTCAATCTGCGCTCATCCTGTCTTCTTTTCTCCGTCTAGCTTCTGTGCGTTTTATTTACCTTATCTACCATAAAATACTGAGCATCCACCCATCCTAAAATTAGCGCTCACCCCTCAATTTTGTAACATTCAGCAAATACACAAAAGACATCTTAACATAATGTTGACCTAAGGAGTGCCCATTCCCCAGTGTTGCATGATTATCTCCAAATTTTGAGTGGGCATTTGCACGGGATATTACGGTAGTCATAATTCTGTGTAGATTCATATCAACATTCTGTATCAACATCATCTGGGAAATAGAATAAACTATAAGTCAGAATGCATGCCTACACAAGCAACCGCATTCCATGCTTTTGCTGACATTTCTTGCCGACTTGTAGTCGCATCATGTTTGGCCTTCAAGCTCTTCAGACTTTTCAAGCAGAACTGCTACAATCATGGTTACAGTTGCTAACACAAAAGAATGTTCTTTGCACAATTGTAATCCTGCGAAGCCTGTACACCCGGGGCATGGCGTCCAAATTGCACAACTGGCCGCAATGCCTTGATCCCTATCTCAGGGGAAGTGTTGAGATGGAGCTTCTTCACTTTCTTTTTGTGCTTGTGATGCCGGTCACAAGTAGTTTGTAGCATAAAATCACTTGTTCTTGACTGCAAAAGTTTACCAGCCTATTGGGGTCATTCATTGTTTTCTTTAAAAGAAAACCCAAGGACGACGTTCAAAGCACATCTGACAAAGCCAATGCAAACCCTTATCCACACTTTGATGACCTGCCAGAGGATGATACTTTGTTGTTTTATACTAGCTTGGCTCGGGGATTTTCCATATCATCCACCTCGCAAAATTTAGTACCCCCAAAATAAACCAAAAAACGAGCGCCTTCATAGCTTGCCACCTATGAAGGCGCTCGGGGATTTTCCATATCATCCACCTCGCAAAATTTAGTACCCCCAAAATAAACCAATAATGAGTGCCTTCATAGCTTGCCACCTATGAAGGCGCTCGGGGATTTTCCATATCATCCACCTCGCAAAATTTAGTACCCCCAAAATAAAACCAAAACTCTAGCTTTGGCCAAATGTGCAATTGAGCTGGCAAACAAAACATTATATATGGTAATTGTATTTGCACTGCCACCGTGTCGTCTTGTGCATTACTGGAAGAGAGTTCTTATTAACCAAAAAGTACTTTGCTTTCATATCAAACATTGATTCTGTGCTGCAATGCAAGAGATCTAAGGTGTTTCGCATGCTGAATGATGAAACGCACCTCCTTTTGTCCGCCATTTTGCCTGACCAGCACGCACACCTTTAGCTTACAGGAGTCGCCTATAGCTCCTCTAGTATTGACATCCTCAACTTACTAAATTAATAAATTAAAAGAAAAACTGAGTTTTAGAGAAGTGCAAGATAATTTCTTGAGCTTTGGATGTTTTGTCCTACTGCTACGTCTGCAAAATTGTTCTGCAGATTAGTTAATCTTGATGGCTTGCATCATTGGTTCTCAGAAATCTGGCCAAGCTGTGTCCAGCCATCATCGCAAATGGGCCAACTGCATAGAATGGGACCAAGAGAACGACGAGTACTCCAGCGAGCTGCTCAGAAACGATGACGAGCGCTTGAAGGTAAGGGCCTTGGTTTCACCCCTAAAGCAATACTACTATTAAATTTCGGCGCCGATTTTTTTTGGTCCATTCGTGTTCAATGGAGCATTATCACATCAGACACGCCAATCTCTTGTTGAAAAAGCCATGAAAAGGAATTTTAAAACAAACGATTAGCAAAGAGCACCTGGTGAATGTCACTAACGCCTCGTTTGTAATGCCCGTCTAGGAACCTTGAGAGGTAGTGACGATAACTGTCTCGCCTCCGGCTACCACGAGAGAATAGGGGAAGGAGGAACTCCCCTCTCCCTGAGACTCCTCTTTTGTTTCTCAGAAGTCGCTATTGTCCTTCTACAAGATTATAGAAGATTAACCCGTCACTCAAAATTCGTGCAAAGACAGCTTTGGGGTTACTTGCGGTGACCCGATCGCTGGTGTGCTTCGGCTGCTTTCAGTGGATGCTATGAGCCATCGGGGCTTATCCAAGGCTGTGTGAATGTCACGTGACCTTGGAGACGGGGCACAGCAATGCGCGGAAAGCGTATCACGGGCTACATCCACAGAGCGGATTAGCTGGGATAGCTCGCAGCATCCGCCGCGTCTGGACGTAAGGTCTCGAGACAAACTTTGTCACGATTGCTGTGGATGTGACGTGGTCTCCGCTGGCTGCTCTCCGAGCGTTTGCCAGAGTGGGCCGTTTGTAACGAAAAATACAGCCATCAGGCTCAAGATACAAACATGTGATTGTCATTTATGGATATTGTGGATCATATTCAGCCTATTGGTGAACACAACGATTATATTTCAAATTTCGTTGAAGTATCCCTATAAGTTTCTTTCTCTGGGTGCTGTGCTTGTGGTCTACCTTCACACACATATTTTTAGTACAATAACATGTTTACTGTGCGGGCATGTCCCACACTTGTACACAATCCCTTATAAAAGAAACTCTATTACTTTCTGCAGGTTACGTTTTACACAGAATCTGTTTTATCAGCCAATTTTTATGGAGTTCTATAACGTTTGGCTGTAACAGTTAGCTGTAACAAAAAACCGACACCGAAAAGTATTACGCCCATAGGGAACCATTAAAAAAGACTACAGTCCCCGGCAGGACTTGAACTCCACCTTGAGATCGTGAGCCAAGTGCTTTACCAACTGAGCTATTCAGGGTAGAGGGTTGGAGCGTGCAAAAGCAAAGTCATTCGCGTAGTTCGCGTTTTGCAGCCTTTCCTTTCATGCTGCGCCATCTCACGGCGTGTGTTAGAAATGAGTGAATCTTAGTTAGGCGCTGCCATTCTGATGCCCTTCTCTTCTTCCCTGGAAGGCCTATCACACATTTTGTGCATGATCAAGCTTGTATAATTTTTGTCAGCTTGTCAGCATGATCAAGCTTGTATAAATTTTTCAGTGCCAAAATAACAGCGTTGCTGCGTCTTGCAAATGGAAATATGTGGTATGACTCATAATTTTTCGAATGAGGGACGAATAATATAATATGCACTTCGCTGCTTTTTCTGAGGCATGTGTAGTGTTTGTGTCATGTGTAGTGTTGTGTAGTGTTTGTGTCATGATTCAGAAGGGCCAAATGAACAAACCGGAAAAAGCATGAAAAATGTTTGACAGTGTAGTCACGAAGTCCCACGCATTAGCTAGTGTCGAGTTATGGCTGCAGGTGGTGCCGCTCAATCCCAGCAAGACTAGCCTCGATCCGTGATCCAGTCTATTACAGCAGAGATCAGTGGTTTTCACCGAGGCACTTGACCTACTGGAGTAACATTTTACGAGCACTGTGAATGTGCTTGTTAAACGATGTCTGTTCATGCTACAACGACAAGTTCCCGACGAATCAATATGGCCGTACGTGAATATCACCGGACAACTGTCGAAGATGTGCAACCACGGTGACTTCTTATAGGCAACGTTGCGGGGCAAGGGCGTTGATGGAATTTGAAGCATGGAAATGCGGCTGAAACTTTTTCTGAAAGGGTCGCAATGATGTTGGCCTGGGCTGTTGAAATTCTGCAAACATTTGAGCAAGCGGCAGAAGGTTTCCAAATTTTCGAGGAGGGGCGCGAAGCCCTTGATGTCCAGCGAGTCGAGAAAGCCAGGTATTGTCCAGTGAACGGCGGTGTCTGACAGTTCCGATGCGGAAATGTTACCGGTGAGATTCTTTAGGGCACCTGGTCGGCGCTCGAGAATGCAGGACACGAGGCAACCTTTGCGCGAAGTGCCCCAAGATTGAATACTTCCGAGCAATCTACAAGGTCCTGGGCAGTCTGCAGTACTGTCGAGACCGAGACCGGTTATAACGAAGTCAACGGGAATCTGAAATTACTTCGCTATATCCGCTATTTCGTTATAACCGACTTCGGTAATAACAAAGCGCAAAAGAAAATGAGAAATTGGGATAGCTTCGCTGTAGCCGCTATTTCATTATAACCGACTTCGTTATAACCGGTCTCGACGGTACGAGCAATTCAAGATGAAGACGGTGATGAGGAAGTGTTGAGTGTGCCGATGGTCATGCAACCGAAACGCGCGACAATGTTTGCACCGAGGGCGAGTTGCTTCAGCTGGTGGTGTGGGCATTGGCTTGTCGGTGTCTATTTTGCCGGAGCACATCTTTCAAACAGAGTTCTCTAGTTGCCTTGTCTTGACATCAGCTACAGTGACTCTGCGGGACGTCTTGCAGCAAAAGATTCCAGGCGTGGTGTGTTTCGTGGCCCAAACCCTGCGCCGGGATGTTTCGGCAGGCATCTGCATCTATGTGGTACCACGAGGCATAGTGTTGGTTTTGAAGTTTTGCTGAATTCAAACCATTTTGCTATTTCCCTGAGCTTCGAATTATTGAGAATCGACTGTAATGAGTAATGTGTACCTCGAGTCTAAGGTGCATTCATCCATTGGGGAGGAACTCTTTTCTGACTTGGTGATCTATGTCGCAAAAAGTCATGATAATGTCCTGTATGGCTAGAGCCTCATGACACACAGTAAGAGATAGATTGGCCTCTGAAATAGATTTGGAAGCACTCAGGTTTGCAGCTCTCGCATGACCTTTAGGGATTTCTGAAAATGGCCGTGCAACAATGTTTGGACTTCTGTCAAATAATTGTGGTTGTTGTTCCCTGTCGCGTCTGGATTAAAGAATTGAAAACAAATTTTGCTAACGCACGTTAGTTCTTTACAAAAAAATGTCAAACGATTATGTTTCGAGCGCCTCCAAACCACCCTCAACTCGTACACCGTCTTCCGAATCATGTGCGCAGTGATGTGCAATGGGGCTGGGAAAGGACCGGTTGCATTCTCTTTCACAGCTTCCAGCATGCGCGGCTTCTGCTTGTGATTCACATGGCGACCTTGAAGGTTGGTCTGAGCAATGTGTAGAAGGGGAGAGGGGGTGGGAGAACAAGGAGCTTGCCTTTTTGTAAAGAAGTTCAACTGACGTAGTAGCACAACGAGATGAGGCTCAAGGAAGGAATAGTTTCTTTCACCTCAGACAGATGGTGCCATTTAAACTGAATATAGTACAACTTTGTCAATGACATGAGGTTTTTGTTGTATTTACTCATTTTGAAACGACAATGTTGATCAAATATGGCATTAGATTGAGCCCATAATGGCACATCTCGCCAACCTATTACCATCATACCCATTGCGCGTCACGCCTTAGTTCCCATGGTCGCCACAGCACGGTTGCGAATCGCGAAATATTCCCCGTTCTTTTTTTTTTTTGCTATTACGCAACGGAATCGCGATATTTCAAAAGAATGAGGTGGTTTCTCTGTTCCTTTTGGTAAGATAAACAATGTAAAAATTTAAAACTGCAAATTCTTTCGAAGTTAAAATTGTTGCATCGCCCCTTTAAGTTGCCTATTAAATCCAGCAGTTTTATTATTATTTAGTGGGAATAGTTTTCCTGCAGCTGGTGGATCGTTTTCACTTTTTTTAATGATCCTGACATTTTTCGGACACTGAAATTTGACACGGGAACTAAGGCATGACGCGCAATGGGTATAATGTAATAGGTTGGCAAGATGTGCCATTGGCAATATTTGGGATCAGTTGAAGTAGACTAATTTGTTAGAATCTTTCTTCATTTAGAGTTACAGTGCTTTGAATTTTGTGGTGCCACTCGAAGAATTTGGGAGATTGTGGTGGTCATTCCATTAGTGAAGATGACTAGCATACTTGTTTTAGTCTTCACTGTTTGCTTTGCATTGCCTACTCTGTGCAGGTCATCCTGGATGAGAAGAACATCTGCATGCTGGAATTCCTCCAGTGCATCCTTGCGAGCTACGTGGAGTCGTACTGGGTTGTGGCATGCTCTTTGTCCAAGCTCGTCAACACCCAGATGGAAGGTGAGGAATAGACACCGCTGTAAAAGAGAAGTGCTCTTTATCACAATTGCTACTTTGTCTGCTACACGCAGGGATAAGCACACACACGGGTTGCTTGAAACGTGATTGCAATTGGCTATGGCTGGTGCTATTGTATGAATCTAGTAGAAGCAGCTATGGCTCTGGATTTGAAGCTCTAATATCTGAATAATCATCATGCTAGCCGTGGTGTAGCTCTAGCTGTGCCGTAGCCGTGTGGAGGTCAATCAGTCAAAGTCAACATCAAAGCTCATATGGCTGCTAGCTTATGTGTGATGGACCATGTGGATTGTGCAATCCACCTATCTCAGAAAATGCTTTCAAAAAAATTCCCGCTTCGAAAGTTTTTGGTTGCAAATGTGCGTGCACACCATGAACGTCTGCACAAGCCCCTCTATTCAAAGGCTACCATGTTCAGCCACGAGTTAATGTAATGCAAGACTATTTTCCAGGGTGTCGAACCGAAACCGAACCGAAAACCGGAACTGAACCGGTATTTTTTCCGGAACTGAACCCGAACCCGAACCGTTATATTGTTATCGCGATGAACCCGAACCGGAACTGAACCGGAAAAAAAATAACGGTTACCGGCTCATGTCAAAACGGTTCGGCTACGCGCTGTTGACAATGAATGTGCTATCAATGCCATTTGTTTTTTAAGTGCCGTCAACTGACACACACCTCGTTTACATATTTTTCTTCTCCACTCAGTCTTAGGAATATAAACGCTGCATCCATGAATCTTGACATAGGAACCAGTATTGCGCTGGTCGCGGCTTGCACGGAAAAAAAAGAATTGGAAGGCTGTGCAAAAAAAAAAAAAAAATCCCGTCACGGGATTTCATTTTCCTACAATCTCGTAAATCCTAAATGCTGCTGTGTGCTCATTTCATAACACGTTTCTAGAACGCGCGAGTTCTTGAAGCTTGCTTCCATCGGAATGAGAAAAGAAAAGGCTGTGGAGTTTGATAATAATGCATCCGGTTTCGTATAGGCACTTAGAAGCTAACATATTTGTGAGACAGCGAACTCTTCTATTTTAATATTTATCCTATTACGTCCTTCTGGCGTTGCGTTCGGTGAAGTGTTTTTCATATTCCATATCTTGTTTAATGAAAACTTCTTTAAGGGTCTAAGTTGAGTTACCGAAGGCTAGTTCAAATAAAGAAAGCTGTATTTTCTCCCCACTGTTCCTTCAATTGCTCACACGCCGAGGTGGCGGGATAGTTAGCGAGTTCTACTTGTAAGTGGGTTTGTAAGGAGGTCGCGGATTTTACAGCTACTGCGTCGGACCCAATTAGATGAAGTCCGAATGCGTAAACGTCGGTGAGGTAACCTTTGAGTGCACATAAAGAAACCATTCCTGGTAGAAATCCCTGAGCCTTACACTACAATGTATCCCATTTCGTATGTGCTGATTTCAGATGTTTTATTTGTAATTTATTTTGATGTTGCAATTTGTCATTTATAATTTCCGAACCGGTTCGCGAACCGGTTCGCGGATCGAATTAATCGAACCGGAACTGAACTGGAACAAAATTAATTTACCTGAACCTGAATCGTAACCGAACCCGTATTTTTTTCGGTTCGACACACTGCTATTTTCATAGCCGAACCTCCCGAATCAGTGAATTCTGAAAAAGATGTAGGATATATATTCTCGGTGCGCTGAGTTGCACGAAAATCGGGACGAAAATGGTTTAACTGAGGTCAGATAGCCCTGAAGACATGCGATAGGGTCATGGACAAGGTTCGTAGGGGTGAAAAGCGCATGCCACAGCGAGTTTGTTACACTGAAATTTATTTGTATTGAATGCAAGGCATTTTGGCAAAGGATTTTGCAAGAGTTTGTAAAAAGTAATATCCCTGTTGTTTGTTCGAGGTATTGCACTGTGCTGACTAGCTAGAAACTAAGAGGATGCATCAAGGCACTTGAGACTTGTTGTCTTTTTCTTTAGTGCCTTGTGTTGCCTTACTTCATCTTGGTCCTTGTTTTTTTCGGCGCTTTTATACTTTCTAGTCTGGAGTTCAGTGGTCGTAGTTGTAACTGGAAGGATTCTTTCAGCAGTATGTGCCCAGTGGTCGGCAACCTTTTAGTGCAGTGGGCAGTGTCGCCGGTGGGGGTGGGGGAGGGGGGGGGGGTGTTAAAAAGAAAAGTAAAAAAAAGCATTTGCACGAATTCACATTGACATACATAAATCGAAAATGAACAGCTTTTTATTTCACGACACATAACATGAGACAACGTTTCTAACAATCTACAAAAAGCTAGAGACTCCTCTCGGTGAGACTTCTGGTGTTGAACTGCGCTCGCTAAACTACGGACATCCACATTTAAGTGACTAGGAAGTTTTGGAATAACATACGCAATTTTAGTGCATACTAGCACTAGATTGAGCGCTTGCTTTAGTGCACGCTATGCAAAAGAGTTTTAGAATAGCGTTTCTCCGCCGCGACGCAAAAGCCCAAGCATCTCGCACTTGCAATGCCACCAAGATAGTCACAATTTTTATTTCACACACGAAATGGTCTAATTTGAGGAAAAAAAAAGTGTTTTTGGTCGAGAGTAACATTTTAAATTTGTTTCAACATGAGAATGCGACGCAAGCGGTCGACCGGTCGTGTCCGCCTGCGTTGCCTCAGCAAAAGAAGTCTCGTGTACTGACCTTTGCACACCATACCTTTGCCAAGAAATGTTTGCGTGTTGCAAGCATCAAGTTGCCGGTGATCGTTGCCCATCTTACTGGGTTTTCCAAACCGAGTGCAACGTCTTCCCGTATTGAAAATCTTATTCATGAGGATGCCGCCGACATTACACTCACGACGCTGCCAAAGTGCGTAGCCATGGTCCTGAGAGCTGCCATTTTTTAACTCTGCTCGTCTTGGCTTTAGCCAACTTCTCATTACGAATCTGCCTTGGAGGAGCTCAAAGCACTGGCGCAGTCTCTTTGTGTACACACGCAAAGCGCATAACTGGGTTAGCGTTCGGCGCATGTGCAGTGGTGAAAACGCTATTCTTTGCATACGCAAAGCTTTAGTGTGCGCTATTCTAAAACTCCCAACTAACTGCGAGTCCCAAAACTATGTGTAGGTGCTCGTTGGTCATTCGTCAATGCAAGTTGGATTTTGTGTACTTCATTCATGAAAAAGTTTGCTCGCAGACATATCTGCTCCCGAACACTGTAATTATGGTGGCTGCAAGTTTCTTGAAATTTATGAACTTAGAATCTGAAAAGCCAGCATAAAATGTAACAAGGTCGGTTGCTGCAAAAGCGTTCTTCAACTCATTATCTGTTTGCAGATCAGCCAGCTCCATCTGGTATCACTCTCGAACCTGGCTAAGATCTGGATTAAATGGATTTTAAAAGAAACAAATGTTGCTCGAATGCTTCGTAAAGTCCATGAACTTACCATATTTTCTGGACTATAAGTCACACCCTTGTATAAGTTGCACTTCCGTATACTGAGCAGTTTTCGCAGAAGAGTTGATATACAAGTCGGACCTTTGTATAAGTCGTACCTCTTTGCATAGTTCACGCCATGAATTTTTTCTTTTTACGCGCATCGGAATTGCAAAATCAAAGTTCCACACAATTGATTAGCCCACGCGAACCGTTTGACATGAATCAACTTGGATGTTTCGACCCGCGAGAAATGCCCATAGAACAGCGCGCTCTAGCAGGGGCAGTTGAGTGTTTCACATCAAAAGGATCTAAAACGTGGAAAATGAGAAGGTTGTCGGCTTTATTTGAGTGTACACATGCTGAGCGAACAAAAGTTCAAGGTGCCAGAAACTCGTGAACCCAGCTTTGGACCACTAGGTGTAGTCTAGGCCATGCCACGGAGACAACACAAGCATCAATGCATAGGCAGATACTGTAGATAAATCTTGACATGCTTCTTTTGGTACCTCTAAAATAGGGGTCTCAAACACGTGGCGCGTGGGCTGCATGCAGCCCACGACTCGCTGGGACGCGGCCCGCAGGCAAGCGGTTATGAGTCCCGGTTCTCACGTTCAAGCGCTAGAAATAGCATGCGCTATAGTGATCTAATCTCGTCGATTAATTTTCACTCAAAAAGTAGCTCTGCTCTTTTAACATATTCACATATTTTATACTTAACTGTGTTCATTTGCCCTTTGTTTCGCTTTATTTTTTGCTTTCCATCTTTTTGTAATGTACAACAATTCCACTACTAGGCTGCAAGCGCGAGCTCTTTGTTGAAGGATGCCTCTCGGCTGCGCAAACTCTCGATCAGCAGGAGCACCTGCCAAACATAGAGCTACGAGCTCGGGATTCTCACCTTCAAAAAAAATTCACCATTATTAAATTACAACTATTTGTTCGAAGTGTTCTAATAAAAATTGTCCGAAAAGCAACAACTGTCAAATTAAGGGGTCTCCAAACAGGATACGACAAAACGCACGACTCCGACAAATCATGCGACGCTCTGCATCTGGCCGTTTTTCTTTGTTGGGGAGAAACCTCCCCCGTCAAATTTGCCGGGGGGAAACTCCCCCCCGTAAAATCGCGAGGGGAAGATTTGATTGGAGGAAGTTTCCCCCTGGCAAAGAAAAACAGTGGGAAGCGGAGCGCCGCACAATTCGTCGAAATCGTGCGTTTTGTGGTATCCTGTTTGGACGCCCCCTTAAACTGACTGTTTTTTAGGGACATGCTGAGCTTGGTTAATTCCTGCGTGAATTGAGCAATGGGAACGACAGTTTACTTGCTCTCGTGTTCCATTCAAAATGCCAGCACGTTGGCTACAGAGGCTAGAATGGGTTTCCTAGTGTCGTCAACGCGGCCGAGGAGCGGCAATATTTTGCGATGACGCGGGCAGGTGGCGCTGCTGCCTGCAGGCGCGCTGTCGCTTGGCGGTAGGCGCGCGATTTTCAACGGGAGACGCGTCTCCGGATGTAAATGTGTGGCTGTTGTAGCGCTCGCTATCGTTTAATCTTCACGCACGCATATATATATATATAT